GAGTTGAAGAAGATGTTAAAATATTTGGAGTAGGCATAATTGATTGTTTGGGAATCGATTATTCTACTACTGTCATTAAACTTTTTCTAAAAATCACTTTAAATATAGAACTTTTTTCAAAATCATTTGTAAATTTTCAAAAAAAGAAAAAAATTGAGAACTTACCAAAGCTAGTCAGGTTTTGGCCAACGTCCACAGCTTGAGACTGCAAAACCAAGAAGAAAATTGATTTTATAACTTTTCATAGAATACACTTGGATGTTCTTGATATCTATATTTTTCAAACAGTTTGTTGAATTATATTGCTCAATGGGTTTCAATTCTACCTTAGCAATATCCTCGGGGTTATTCTTCACTGGTGCATAAGTACGCCAAGCCAGGTATCCATAACCTAAGAAAATGAAAATACAAAGCTTTAATAACGAAAATAAGTAAGGGTTTAATTATAAGAACAATTATTTCCTCAATAAAAGAATTAAGACAAGTTCTATTGGACTCGAGAAAAAAATAACTAAAAGAAATCTTTAGAAAACGGATCACGCACAAGGAATAATCCAAATCTCATATAAAATCCACAGAACAAGGATTTCATTAAGATTCAAAGTCACCTAGAGAAAATCAAAGAATTACCCGTCTCCCCCAACTATTTCATATATGCTTTGAAATGGACTAAAGATACGGTTATTAGTTAATTATAGGAATCTTCTCAATACACAGTTCAATTACTAAAGATATGGACTAAAGATGTTTTTGAGTTCAAAAGACTGAGGAATTTTCTCAATACACAGTTCAATTACTTCCATTAGCATATCAGTAGTGATGCATTTCTTTCATCAAAACATTTAACTCAAAGTATTAATAAGGTTGGATCCAAACCAAAACAGAAGGAGGCTTTTCGGTTGTTAATAAAAAATGAAGAAAGCCACTCATTCTGCAGCCTTTCAATAAATACACAGTTCAATAAATAGGCATCAAAACAGAGTGCATCTTTCACCGATTGCTCCAAAAGTAAAGCAATTAATATAATACAATTATCCCCAAAACACGACAAGTTAAACAAATCTCCGTTTGCCATTATATGTACTAAGTCTAAAACAAATCATGCATTTAGTCGATGAACATCAAAGGAACCTACACATTCATAGGCAATTGATCGAGCATCAAAAAGGATGAGAGGGAAAATTCACCAATACTTACCCTGGATTCCGACTATGAAGCCACTGGTCAGAAACTGAAACGCCTTCAAAGCTTGACATCTCCATAGATCGACTAACAATCCTGTAGAAGAAAACTTCAAATCAAAAGGGAAATCAGACTCGGAAGCACCTTTACGAGAACAATCGACAATTCTTCGAAAAGGAAATCGAACCCATTGCAGATAACACGAAACTGAAGATACAGAAATAGACTTGTGCATTGGGGGATGAGTAAATTAAACAACCAAAAACAGAATCACAACACATTCATATTCAACATATATATTTTCTATAAAGAACACGATGAAGTTGAGTCAGAATCAGACCTGGTTGAGTGGATCGATTCATGAAACCCTAACGAAAAGCCAGAAGCGGAGGAAGATTCAAACTAGAAGCGTTCAGAAGGGCATATATCGAAGTTTAGAAGTCACTGGAAAATGGAAAAACTGATGCTCTGTTGGAAACGGGAGAACAAAAATGGAGTCAACAATGGGGAAATAGGGTTTTAAAGAAGCAATCGGCCAAGGCGAAGAACAAATCGTGTTTCAAATCCGCCGTTTCAAATCCGAAGGTGAACAACAAATCGTGTTTCGAATCCGGCCGACGCTCCTTCCAACGGCCAGTTTGCTCTACGCAGAAATATCTCTGACATGCCTTAACCGTAAGTTTAATCATTACCAAAAATTATAATTAAGTTTAAATTATTTGTTGGTCTATGAATTTTATTTGTATTTTGGTTTTTAAAATATTAAATATCATATTTTAAGTTTCCAAACTTTTATTAATACTAATCTGGGTTCTTATTTACAAGTTGTGATTCCTCATCTAATAAGAATCTTAAAATTACTTGTTCTTAAATTTGGTACCAAATTCAATAAATGTGACTCTCCAAAAGGAATAAAAAAAACTCTAAATATAAGTTTCAAAAAAAAAAACTCTAAATATAATTCTCTATGATGCCACAAATGCATTTATAAATTAAGGCTCTACCTACAAGGAATCGAAATGCAAATGAATCGGAATGAAAATCAATCGGAATGGAAATGTCATTCCTTTGATGTTTAGAAATTTTTTTCAATCAGAATCAAAATTCCTTTGATTGTTTATTAAAACTATAATAGAATCAGAATCAGATATATAACCATATAACCATTACTGGTATATCTCTTTCTTCAGCTAATACATTATTGTGTTAATTTTTTTAAATATATTTTATTATAATAATTTATTTAATATTAATAAACAATGAATAATTAAAATTAAATTAATACTGTTTTATTAGAATAACTATTATTTAATATAAAATATTATTAAATTGTATTATTCCAATATTAATAACAATCGATTTCTATTTTTTTAAAATCTATTGATATTAATTAATATTAACAAAAGCAATATTAGAAAGCTAAAAATTAAATATCAATTTATAATATTTTATAATAAAATCACGTTAACTAATAAAATTTGTATATATTTTTAAGAAAAAATACACTTTTTGTATTTGGGGTAGGTGTCTATTTACTCCTTAAAATTTTAAAATTAATACTTTTAGTCCCTCAAGTTTGGAGTAAGTGCTTATTCGGTCTTAAAGTTTGAAAATGAACATTTTTGATCAGTTACGTTTGAGAAATGGTTCTAAATGATCGTTGAGCTATACTTTGACCGTTAGTTGACTAATGTTAAAATATTGTGTCAGTTAAATTGTTGACTGTATTTTGTTAAATATATTAAATTTTTTTTTTAATAATTACATCTCCTTCCTTTCACCTTGCACCTTCTTCTTCCTCCTCCTTCGGATGCAGTTCACTATAATTGTCGGTCGTCGTCTCAATTCTTGCATGTTGCTACCGTCGTCGCCAGCCTCTGGGAACCGTCGCTAGCCAAGAAGAGGAAACTATGGCAAGAGGTGGAGCTCTCCCTCATTCAAGATTTGGAATGAAGGAGATAGGGAGAGAGTCTCCAAGCACAGCCGCCCTGATTCCAGTAAACGTGTTGGGCGAGGTTTATAGGGGTGAGTTTGCTTAGGGATTTGACCACCATTTTTACTTTAAATTTGTTTGTATCGATGAACAGGTATGTTATAGAGACCGACACATCGCCCGAAAATTCTGTTGGTGTTCAATTAAATTACGAATTTTAATAAATAATAAAAGCATAAAACAATTAATAAAAAAATTATGGCTCATTAATATATGAGAGAGAAAAGGTAAAAGTAGTAAAGTAATTATAATAAATGCGTGAAGCCCACGAAATAAGAAATATGAATGGGATTTACGAGGGTGTAGGAGAAGAATGGAATTGCAGAATGAGATTACCAAATTTGAGGCGAGTCCCACTATTTGATTTTATTTCTACTATTTGATTTGCTTCAAGAGAACGGAAATCAAAGAACGATAACCAATAATAATACACGGATACGGCTACACTATGACGAGGCGATGGATGATGAGGCTATTAAATTATGTCACGTATTTTTCAGATGATTTCTTATTTTCAAGTTTTCTTTATTATTAAAATTATGTAAGTATTGGTTTTTTAAAATTTAATTTAGATGAAATCTTCAAATTAAAATACTCTTTGATGAAAATTTTATTATCTTTCAAAAGACATTTATGAAAAGAAATTAAGGAAAATAAATTAAAAAGTTACTTATTAATTATTATCTATAACTCTTTTATAATTAATTTTTCATTTTAAATTTAAATCCGTTTTAAAACTTTGATACTTAACCAACATCTATTAGACTATTACAATTTAATCTACTGTTCTGCTAAATAATTTGAAAAAGAAAATTGTAAAAAGAAGATGTATTAAACCTATTTTTAATATTGTATTAATTTATTAACTTATTCTTTAGACGGCTTCAACAAATCCTAAAATAACATTTCATTTGAGTTTCACAATTAATTAAGTCGATTACCATTAGAATAATACAATTTTAAGAAATGTCATTTCAGCAAAGGATTTCTATCAAAATAATTAGCTGGTCGGAGCTCAAATCCACCGTGGAGGGCGGCCATCGCCGGAAACTCTTCTTGACAAGGGCTGTGATGGAACCCCACCGTGTACCATAAAACAATATCTTTATTCTCAATTCCCCTGTTCCTGCAAAATTCCACGTCCAAATAAATTTAATATTTAACTCATCAACATCCCATGCCCAAAAATCACCCAATTTTAAGTTAAATTATAAATTTACTTGTTGAAATAGTTAAAATAGCTTCCATGTTGAAGCTAAAAAAACACCTAAAGTTACAAAATAAGCTTGAATTGTAATTCTTAAATAATACTAATGGTTACCAAAATCTTTTAAACAATTTTGAATAAAGCAGTGTAACAACTTTTTAAATTGAAATTACACAAGGCGGAAGTTGAAAGGGCAAGATTGTAATTTAACATAAATGAAATTTACCTTTTAGCCCAAACCACTAAGCCATCATCACCGTGGCTCCGATCGGCATAAAATCCCGCCGGCCATCTCTCCGACCTGTTATAGGGAGTCACCCATATGGGGTACTTGGTGTAGGCAGCTCTAATCTGGGGATAATCATCGTCCGTCAGTAGAGAACTAACCGGTTGTCCAGTGATCAGCCGGTAACCAACGTGATTCCCAAGCTTCGTCTTCTTATTGGGGTTTACGAACAAGAGCTCGGCTGGGTCGGAGCCGAGCTGAATTTTGGCTTCAGCTTCAGTTTTGATGGTTTCTCTCATAATTTTCCAGTAGCTCTTTCTTGGAGACGTGGCGTTGACGTCCGTTGTCCTTGCCGTTATTAGTTTGGCTTTGACGAAGGAGTTGACGGCGCCATCAACGTCGAGGTCGAGGTAGTAGGTTAAGTAGTGGTCGTGGTTGACGGCGATGGCGTTGTCGGCGACTAGAGTTCCGTATATTTCTTCCGTTATTTCGCCGTTATTTGTGTACGGCGTGGCCTTCACCTCCAAAAGCCCTGTTAAAGCAACCTGCCAAACAAAGCCAAAAAACAAAAGTAAAAAACAAAAAAATTGCTATGTTTTTTTAAAGTTTAAATTCTGTTCCATATTTAAATTCGAAAATAATACTTTTGGATTATTCTAATGCATGCGTTTACCAGAAAAAATAGGACCAAGATTATTTTCCAGTTCTTTTTTTTTTCTTTTGATAAATATACTCTTTCGAATAAAAATAGCTTGCTTTCAGAAAAAATATTAGTTCCAAGAACAATTATGGGTGGGGTAAATACGAAAATTGACCTCTTAATAGTTTTCTCACCAGACTCTCTGTGAATTTGACCATTACTCAAGATTTTCCAATTCAAAGACCTTTAACCCTACATATAAAAATATCCTAACAAATTCTTTCCGTATATTTCCAACTCCATCAGTAATCTTTTCGTACGGCTGTGAAAGTTTATTATCTATTTAAAAATAATTAATTAAATAACAAACAAACTCATGATTTATTACGTGGCAAAAAAAATCCATAGTTTTATTAATCAATAATTTAGATGAAGAAAAGAGGATGAAAGAGAATACCCCAATTTTAATAGAGCCACTTCTTTTGAATTCCCAGTCAAGAACATAATCATAATTCCCAACAGTTGCCACCATCCTAACCACCAAACTACTTTCAGCTTCCCCACGTCTAATCTGCCAAAAGAAAAATCAACAAGAATGTCGAATGATTGCCAAAATATAAATAAATCAATTTTCATAATTTGAAATTGAATTTTTTATTACCAATTTTCCAGGGATATTAATCTCAGTGTGTCTCCACAAAACATCTCCCGAGTGACGTTCAAAGATGCAAATTGCTCTCGCCACCTTCTGCGGCCGCCCATCGCCGCCGGCCATATAGCCGTCGATGTACTCGGCGTTTTCCGGGCAATCAACCAGCGGCCGGAGAGAATCCGCCGCCCGCCCGAATCCGAATTCTCCGATGTCCATGAAAGTTCTGAAGTACCATTCTGTCGTCGGATCCATATACGGAACGAACGTCTCTGAAATGTGTCCTCTGTAAAGAACTCGCCGGAATCTCTTCTTCTCGTCGTCGAATATTGAAGCTGTTGAGATAATTACTCCGGCTCTGGCGTTGAATCCGACATGGAAAACCCAATTTTCCCATTTCACTTGATGGCCGTCGATGGTGAATCTTCTTTTTTGGGTGTTGCAATTGGGGGTGGAATTGGGCTCTGTTTTTCTCGATTGGTAATCTGTGCCTTCAGATTTCGGCAAAGGGGCTGTGAATCTATCGGAGTAGGAGAAAATTCGCATCGAATCGACGTCGATCAGCGAGATGATTCCTTCGATTGGGCGGGAGAAGACGTTGCTGGTTCCTTCTCTGTAAAAGCATGGAACTTTTAGAATCCTTTTGGTTGTTCTTTCGCCGTACCAGCCCACTGTAAATGGGATGCAAGAAACGTGAGACAAATTCAAGCCTCTCCTCTGAATTGAAGCCTTGAATTTGGGGAAATTGAGAGGGAGTTTGCTGGCTTGGAAGAGCTCCACAAAAGTGAAGGGAGGGTAACCATGGCCGGTGTAGATATGGTCGGATTTGATCGAGCGTGTGGGGAGGTCTATAAGTAGCTCGTGGGTGGAATCCGCAGCCCGAACGACGACATTGGCGCGGCGAGGCAGGCGGCGAGTGAGGCTACTTTGTTCACCGGAAGAGAGCCAGAGGAGGACATCTTTCTTCTCTGGCTCTTCCAAGTCGATGAAGTGAAATGTGAGATTTGGGAGCTTTCCCAGGTGAGATTTGTGGACGGCGAGCCTTACGACGTCGAGCTCCGTCGAGTTAAGAGGGTCGAGCGGGTGGAAAAATGGTGGCGGCGCTGCCGTGGAGAAGTGCAGGTGAAGGAGTATAAGAAGAAACAGAGGAAGAGTCATTGAGGGAAGAGGGAAAATTCAAATGGCTTTTGGGCGGATGTTTATTATATGATACTCCAACAAAGAAAATTCAATTCTTTTTCAAATAGTTGAAACTTCAATTCAAAGCATGATTCTTGCAGAGGCATTGTTATTTTACCATTCTTTTTCTTTTCTTGCATTGAGAGCAATTGCCATTTGACCACCTCAAAGAAAAATGAAAGAGACATCTCATTATCTTCACAAATTCTTGTTCAAATTCTCAGCTGACCTTCCCACTTGATCCCAAACAAAGTCAACTGAAGATTGGATGGCCAGAGAGAATAAGAAATGCAAAATCATTTGATCATGACATAGCTTGTACTTGGATTATGGGTTGAGTTTGTTTATGAAGATGGTTTATTCTTAAAGCATAATCCATGGAGGTAATAGTGGTGTTTTAATTAGTGGGAGCAATTGGGCCAGCTGACTTTAAGAACAGGATTTTGATCTCAAAGAAATTGGTTGGCCTCAGCTCAAACCCACTGCTCAGAGTTGGCACATGATGAAACCGCATGGTCTCTACTCATTTTCCTTTCTTTATATTAATGTTTATATTATACATATATATATATATATATATATATATATATATATATAATTATATATATTCACACCAGACGACCAAATATTAAATTTAATATTATCTAACTCTAACTCAAGGGAGGAAGGGATTCATCCTTATAGAATTTTAAAATCAAACTGTACAAGTTGGAAGGACCAAATTTATTATTTAATCTTTCGTAAGGTAATGATAAACTAGCATTCAAATGGTGTTTTAGCCAAGTGTTAGATTCATGGAACTCAAAACTAAGAAGTCGATCCTATATATTTGGTGAGCAAATTTATTTATTTCAGTTATAAAATTCGTTCATTCCAAATGCTAAAGTTCAAAAAACCTACATGCCCATTCGAATGAGGAAAAAGAGAAGAAATGAAAATGTACTATTAATTAGGACGAATAAACTAAAGGTTGAAATTGAAAGCTATTCTAAAAGTAAAGGAGCCCTTTGATTTGCTTGATCGGAGCGAGATGGTTGCCATTGTCCTGGAAATGGAAATGGAAGTGGCCGCCTGTTCATGGAGGCATGTAAATCCATCTTCAAGGCCGATGCAGAAAGAGTGGTTCCAAAGTGTAGAGCTTCCCTGGAGCCTTCGTCTATGGCCGACTTCGTAGCTAATTCAACTAGCCTTTTACGGAAAAGTTTATCTTCTTTCTGAGCTTCTTCGTAACATAACTTCGCAGCATGGATCTCCATTGTTAGCTTATCCGACCTTCGAGAAACTTCTGCAAGTAGCCTTCGCAGCATGGATCTCCATTGCACAGATGACTCGTGCAATAGAGACATAAATAAATGTTTTTTTTTTAATTGTGCATTCAATTCTTTTCAATTGACCACCATTCCACCATTTTTAAGAAATGTTTGGATCGAAACAACGACAAGAAAATAGGAAGATGGAAATGACAACACTAAGAATCCGACTCGGAGATAATACCATGACTTATTCGGAGTATTTGGAGTACCGTAAAGAGTAGTCCTTCGAAAGGGCCTCTTGGGCACGCATCACGGCCTTATGCGTCTTTGTGGCCAATGCATCTAGGATTTTTGCAAGGCATTTGGCTTCCATGGAACTTTCATCTTTGGCCAACTTCATGGCCAATGCAAGTAGCCTTTTACGGAAAATTTCAGCTTCTTTTTTGGCTCTTTCGTAATCCGCCTTTGCAGCATGAACCTCCATTGTTATCTTCTCCGACCATCGGGAAACTTCAGCCAATACCTCTTCCAAGGACATCTCCTCCTTCTCCATTTCTAAATAAATCCAACTCTCAAACTCTCCAATTTATACAACTCTTTTACTTTACTGCCTAATTACTAAATCTTTTCTGTTTCATCCTCATTTTTCACTTTTATAGAAAGTCTTCGAATGATCGATTTAAAATAGATGTGCGTGGTGGTGATTTCAAAGTTCAAAAAAAAAAAAAAAGTCTACATATTCGAATAAAATAAAAAATGACTACAATTTTGGAATTTCCTACAAATTCTCCAAAAATCTACGGAAATTTGGAGGGGTGGCCAAATCCAATGAAAAATTCAAAACTCGAAATATAAAAATACTTCAAACTAACCTAGCTTAAATCCTAAATATATTTTAAAAATTAAACTTGTAAATACTACCTTTTTTTGATTGATGTATTTCTTTATGTTGCATATGCTTTTTTAAAAAATTAGAAGTCGGTTCGGGGTTCGGACTATTTGGATAGATATACCTTTAAAACGACTAAAATGGCTGTTCTCCGTTATTTTTTGTTTTTTATGATAAATATACTCTTGAAACAAAAATGAACTTGACTTTAGGAAAATTATTAGTTCTAGGTACAAGTCCCTTTATAATTTTCAATGTTGACCAGAATTGTAAAACTTATGCCCATTTTTTATTAGACAGCCATTACTCAAAGATTTTCCAATCCAAATACTCTTTAACCCTAGATATAAAAGCATCCTATTATTTAAACAACTACATGATAAATTGATTTTTGGCCAATTTTGATTAAACATTAAAATAAGAAAAAATTAATGGAAAATCTATTAGATGCCACATTAAATATTTTGAAAGTTGAGGCATGCTGTAATGACTCCAGGCTCCTCTCCAAGGTTGATGGTTCAATCCCTCGTATCTTTATTTGTTGTACTAAAAGAAATATATAAAATATTTCGATACGTCCAAAACTCTGAAAGTTTAAGATCTATTTTTTCAAAAAAAAAATTGAAAAATACATTAATTACAGGGAAATTGCAGCGGGGAGCAAAATTTTTTTATGTATTTCAAAATATGTCATCTGTTTTTAAAATTTTCAAATATAATAAAAATTTTCACAATAATATATAAGATAGTCATATCAATAGTATATCAGATACTCATGTCAGTAGTATCTCATACACTCATATGAGTAGCATATTAGATGTATATCACATACATATTGCACAGACACTCATATTAGTAATACATGAGATGTATTCAAGAGGCCAAATATTGTTCCTTATAAGACAATAATATCCTACTACTTGTAGGAATAATTGGTAGTAGTGTTTAAAATCATTTTCATAGTAGGACACAAGTCATCTGTTTTGGGCTTCATTATCCCAACAGCAATTAGGCTCAGTTTTTCACGATTAGTAATCTATGCCTTTAGATTTCAGAAAAGGGGCTGTGAATCTGTCGGAGTAGAAGAAAGACTCATCCTGGAAACAGATTCCGATCATCTTGGAATGAAGCCGGTGATCTTGGAAACACATTCCTCCCGTGTTTTAATCTCTTCTCTCAGACTTCGGAGACACTACAAGAAAATTGAGTATTTTCAAATGTCACGTCCTTTAAAAAAGTATAAAATAAACCTTCGATAAATCTTTTTTCGAAGGTTGACCCAACCTTCAAAAATTGTCGAAACCTTCAAAAATTCATATTTTTCAAATGTACAACTAGCCTTCCAAAATTCACATTTTTCAAAAATTATAAGGCTTCGATAATTGTTAAATTAGTCGTCAAAGGTTTTTATTAATTTTCAAGAATCATAAGCCTATTTTCAACCATTTTCAAACCTAAGAAAAAGTTCTTGTAAATCCTTTGAAATAAATCAAATGAATAATAGAATCTGAAACTAATATTAATTTTTTTTCCAAAAAATTATATTATTTTTCTTCAAAAGTTACTACAAAATAATACAAATACTTCAAGTCACCAAAACAGTAAAAAAAAAACATTCACATTTCTTGATATTATATCTAAATTTTCTAACCCTGAAATCGATGCTCGAAACGATTTTCTAATTCAATAATAATACTAAACTTGCTGAAAAAACTTCCAAAATTCAAACCTTAGGCTACCAGGTTGTAGTTGTTTGATATTTTATATTACAATCTCTTTCGTAAGTCAACGATATAAATAATTTACTTTAATTTTTAAGATAAGTTTTGTTAATTAGCATATTTAGTTCTCAATTCAAAATTCTAACTTTCATTCGAGTGGAAGATGTAGAGTTGCACTAGTATAATGCGTTAGGTTTAGGCTTCTACCAGACCCATCCTTGGAGGGATAAATGTAATGGATTTAAGTAATTTTAAACCAAAAGTGTATATAAAAATTTATGTTAAATTGAATATTTTGTTTTTAATAACAAGCAAAATCACTCTTAACGTAGATTATCAATATTAAAAAAATTACGAAAAAATATTAGAGAAACAATTAATAATTAGATAAAAACCAAAAGCCAATTCCGAGTGAGCATGTTCGGGTCACTTTTATAATGGGTAAAAAAATTTCTAGAAGAGTACAAATGTACTCAAGTTAGAAAAAAACAATAAAAAGTAGAAAACGAAAAAAATATTTGGACCGTGTGAGATTTTTGGGCTGTGTAAGTTAAGCCCAATTAATAATTTTGTTTTTTAGAAGGATATAACAAAACAGAAATATATAACATATGAAAATAGGGTTCACAAACTTAATTCTTAAAATTAGAAAATAAAAAGAAAATAATTATTAAATGCGATTTTAAGTATATATATTTTTTCCAAATTGCACGAGTCACGTTTCTGGCATAAAGCTGGATGTAATTTAAAAAAAAAAAAGGAAAAAAAAAAGGCATGAAGAATAATCAACTTGAGAAATTAGAAGTTCCAATAGTTTCTGCGTTGAATTCAAAGTTATGATTTATGAGTGTGGAATTTTTTATTTTCTTAGAAAGGAGTGTGGAAAATGTTTATTTAGTTGATATTTGATAATGCATTATTTTTATTGCAGCTGTTTTTTTTTTCTTTTCTCTTAATGCGTAAAGCCTTAAATTTTGTTTTCATTGGCGGTGCAGTGCACGCGCCTGGCTCCTGACTTTAAAGCCTCTTAATTTGTCTTAAAACCTCACCCAACCATGTGCACTTGGTCTATGATTATTAAAAATATATATATAATATTTAACTTCTCAATATTAAAATACAACATTAATTAAATAATGCATATGATATATAATTGTAACTAGTGATATATAATACTGAATTTAGTAATAATTGGCACCGACTATCTTCCCTCTGTACCCACATAAGCAACATGGTCAAGTGCGCTAACTAAACTGAACATCTTAACTAACCTAGGTGTGATCACCTTACTAGACCACTTAACTAGAAACAGTGTGACCATCCGATAGACCCGACCAGGATCGGATCACCCAACCGAGTCGTTCCACTTGAACCAACCCTAATAAGGCTCTCTTTTAAATAAGAGGAGAGCCTAGGACGTGAGATACGCTTTCACAATTCTACTTTTACTACTCTCAAAATGAAATACCTTGCTAACTTATTGTATGTGCATGTGTTCATTGGAGCTATATCGACGCAAGATATATACTTCACATTTTACAAATAAATGATCCTTTCCTTTTAAAAAAAAATACTACTCTTTTAAATAGATAAATAATAAATTAATACAAATAATATAATAATCAAGAATGAATAAAATGGGTCAAAGCACCCGAACTCTGTTCTCGTGTTTTGGCTTTAATGATGGTTTGGTATCTAAATTTGGATTATATTTCAGGAAGTTTTACTATTTTCAGCAAAAAATTTATGTCATAAATCCTTGTTTTAAAATGAATAAAGAGCTTTTGGTTATTTTCAAACCTTCTGCTCGTCTATTTAAAGTTAAGATTTTTGTATAAAGGGGCAAATAAACTAATCACTAAAATATTTTTGGATCGTTTCAAGCATAATTGAAGTAGTTTGAGCACTTATTTCTGAAAGGCCATGAATTTGAATCTCTACTTTGTCGTACTGAAAATATAGATACAGTCTAGACATATATGGCTCGTAATTGCGGATTCAAAAGTTTCTCTTAGACTTGTTGGATAGAAATTAAAGTTTTTCCTTTTTAGTCCTTTAATTTTATTTTAGCAACTCTTATAGTCTTTGGATCAAACCAAATGTCAATATCAAATAAAATTCATTCAAAATGAGAATAATGAATTAGAAGTCGATTGAAACTGGTTAAGAAAGCCTTTGCGTCACTCGTGTAGTCATGAGATTGAAAAGTCTGTTCCTTAATGATTCAAAATTGACTTGGACAATTCATATAAAATTGGAAAAATAAAGTATTGGGTATTCAAATTATAATTGGATTATCCAAAAAATTTAAAACATGCCATCTATAGATTGGATTGAGTTATTAGTTTAACTTATTTAACTAGATCAATGTACGGACCTGGACATAATTTTAATTGGCCAGAATATTACTTGTTTAAAGTCAAAAATTGTTTTGAGGGGAACAAAATTGAATTTCTTAATTTAAAACGTCTTTATCTACTTATAATACTGAATTTGAGATCTTCATGTGGAATTGTGGATCACCAATTGATTAATTTGTATTAGTTTTACTGATGATTATTTTCTTCTCTTTTCTTTCAGGGGTGTGTCTAATAAATTATTTAACTTAAAAAAGTATCTCACAAGTTACGAATTTATCTTACACAAAATTGAACGAAAAATATAGTGACCTATTTGTTAAAGATCCCACGTTGAAGATAAGAGACCTAACAAGAGTTTATAATATAGGTGAGCTACTACTCTCATTGCACTCCTACAAATTTGAGTTTTAATCTGAGTTTTTTTTTATATTAAATTTCCATGTCGAACCTAGCCCGACATTGAAAGTGACTCATTTTAACATACTGTAACTTAATGTTTCACCAAAAAATTTTCATTCCTAGAATTTCGGCCTCTGGCCACTTCCATTTGCCGCGCGAAACCCCTCTCTACATAATACTCAAGAGTATCTGACATCATTTTCATTCAATGATAGGCAATCTGATTTTGTACTAGTATTTTTAATTGGTTTTGAGGTAGAATTCTATAAATACCTTTATTATTTGACACGACATTATAAATTTAAAGATCTATTAGATACAATCTCAAGAGACGGGACCAAACTTATAATTCAACATTTTTATGCTATTGAAATAACCCCTTAAATTCATACCCTGAAATTAAATGGCTTTTAGATGTGAAGTTAGGCAAATTGGATGCATCTAACTATTTGAAGTGGCAGTTGCAAATGAAATTTTACTGTCACAGATGCATCCTAACCCCCATACACCCCCACCCTATTGGTCTGTCATTTTGGCTAACATCACCTTGACATAATAACATGGTTTCCCATACCTCCTTGTTTCCTTTCACATTCTTATTTCATGTTTCTTTTTTTTCCTTCTAAAAAAGATCACAAGAATATCCAAAAGACTTATAAATACAAATCTTTTAAACAACTTTAGCCTCTAATATCAAAATTTTGTCCTAAATTTTGAAAATGTTTATTAAAACTATAGATCAAAACAAAGAAAAATATAGGTGAAATTAATGTTTCTAAACTTAATTTACAAAAAGAAAAAAGAAATTAAAACAAAATGATTATCCAATGAAGGCTTAAAATGCGAACAAACCACGGGTTCAAATCTCATAGTAACTATTTATAAGAAAAAGTTGTAGGGTTGAGGGATAAGGAAGAGAAGAAAAAAGAGATGGAGAGAGATTTGAAATAATTTTACCCAAAATGAGAATGTGGATAAGAAAAATGTTAATGAGTGAGAAAAGTTCCCCACCACACATCCATAGAGGATAGATTTGTCCTTTGAATATATTTCAATGTGTCTATTATTAATATAATGAAACTAAAATAACTTCTTTGAATTAAAGAACCAAACAAATTTTTGCTTTGGGGAGAAGGAAGCATATAAAAGTTCTTTCTTCAATCAAAGGAGAAGAACAAATTGAGAATATTACTTATCTCTATAATCGATTTGATAATCTTTTTTCCGAGTTATAATTCATGAAAACACCAACCCTATAATCTCAATTCTCAAACTAAAATTTTGTAAGAAGACAGAAATACGAACCTTATTAAATTATGTTTGAGAGTCATTTTAAAATGATGACAAAAAATACTTCTCTTCTAACCCAAAACTATCATGTTTAGGAGAGAAAAAAAAAAAAGTAAAAAATACCTTAAAGAGCTCCACGTAAACACACTTGTTTTCTCTTGGGATAAGTTACCTTCTTTTGTTTTATTCTAGTTTAGTATGACATTAACTATTAAGTTAAAATTAATAAACAATTGTGCATAGTATCAGATGTAAACTAATGTGATACCTTGATTTATCATGTTGTTCGTATTAGTTTATACATTGTGTCACGTTATTTCTCATTACTATTTAACTTGACATTTTAATATTAAAAATTAGGAACAAAGAAACTCAAATGTTAAAAGTGACAAGATACCGAACCCGAGTCAATATTTAACCTTTCTCCTTTCAATATACTTATCCTATATCAAGTTGTGAAGAAAAAGTAGCCTAATTCTGGTGAAAAAGCTGGAAAGAAACCCCCTTTTAGAAATCTTGAAAAGTTCCTTCTGATTTGTATATTTTTGAACCAAACCTTTCCAACCAATGACAGGATTCAATGAAGGCAAAGAAAGGAATAATAGTTGAAAAACAAAATAAGTTTATTTATTGAACAAACTCAATTTATGGGCTTAAGATTTTTCTACTTGGAAAAAAAATAACAAAAGAAAGTTAGAGCACTCAAAAAGCAATATCTATTTTGTAGGTAAATTATAACTTCATTAATGGATCGTAGGCCTTTTTATTATTGTCTATTATTTTCTTTTACATGTCACTTCAATTACTTTATCATAGATATTGAGTCTTTAATTTTTCAATTTTTTTTAGTTAAGTCATAGAATATTGTTCAAAGTCATCACACATTTTAACAATTAATTAAATTTGCGTTCAACAATTTTTATCCACCTGTCTTGAAATATAGATATCATCTATCACTTATTTCTTCTTCTAAAAACTATTCTATCAAATTTAATATCAATAAACGTCCTACGTACCCACCAAACAACCTATGAGGAGAGTAACCTATTCCCATTCATTATAGAACTTTTTTTTGGATAAAAATATAACCTAACCCAAATTAATTTGGTCTTAATAAGGTTTTAAAAGAAATTATGTTTTCTAGCCATTTACATGCATGACTATACCCCTTTATTTATCTCTCGTATTAATTCAAATAAAGAAATATAAGCATCTCTTTAATATTTTACCTGAATTCAAATTTTGGTTTTAGATCCGAATAATGTTTGGTGTGTGACTTGAAAATATTGAAAATTTTTCATATGTTTTCGTATTTTAAATTTGCTACCAAACACATATTATAAAATCGTAGAAACGTAATACTCAAATCGATTATTTTCAAATTCATGTTTTTATCGCCAATCAAATGCAAATTTCAGTTTTATTGAATTCCTTGTTTTCAAAATTTTTATCCACATATGGGAAAGTTTTATATAGTCCCTTGCTTTCAAATGTTTGATACACTGGAAAGTTTCATATAAACAAGCAACTTCATATATTTCTTGGCATTAGAGGATAACTCCCCAAAAAAATGAATAATTTAAGCATTAAATGGGTGGGGAGAAGAGTTTACATATGACAATCTGAAAGACAGGACATGTTATCATAAATGAATGAAATGAAATTAAAGTTAGTTTAAGTTTCATCCAAAAAAAAAAAAAATCTACTTTTGGAGTTTTGTTCATCAGAAAAAAGATCTCTCTTTCTTTCTTTAAAGGAAAAAGTAAGGCAAACCCAACAAGATGAGAGATTGGTTCAAGTTTCTTTCCTCTAGCACTTCAATGAAGAAAGTTTTCAGAAGATTTTCGTGATGGGAAAGAAGAAAAATCTTTAGCCAAAAAAAATAATAATAATAATAATAAACAAATAAAAAAAATTGGGTTTATAAGGACAACGACTATCATTCATGACATATAGATGAGATCAATTATTTCATTAATATGAAATCTTTGGGTGAAATCATATCATTGTGGAGATATTAAAGATATTGTTATTCATCGAAAGATGTAGTCATAGTATGATCTATGATTCTACTCTGTGCGGAGTTTTAGATAAGAGAACAAGCTCTGGTTTAATCCAAAAATGGATGGATGATTGACTACTTGAAGAGATGTTCAATAGTATTTTGGTACCGATGTCCTTAAAATGAAATAAAAAAACTTCTTTCACCACCCCGAATCCCTCGCAGACCACACAATTTTGTCCAAAAAATCATTAATTTTTGTTAACTTGTATGGTCCCTAGAGAGAGAGAGAGAGTTTGTTGTGTGGGTTTTACAGCTCGTGATGAAACAGAGAGAAAGAGCAGAGTGAAAAAGAGAGGCTGTTTTGTCAGGTTATTTAGTGGGTTTGGCCTGTTTTTCTCTCAAAATTCAAATCCTCTGCTTCGTTGGCTCTGAGTAGTTGGCAATTAAGCCCTTTGTCCTCTTGGTGAACTTTCCTAGGCCCTCTCTCTCTCCTCTCCTCCTCCAATCGATATCCAAAAACAACCCCATTTCAAATTTCTCTCTATTTTTCTTTTCTTCTGAGGTTCGACAAATCCTCTGCCTCTTCTTCCTCTCGCTTCCTTGGAAGAAGAACAGAGGAAACATCGTAGACTGAGAAAAATAAATAGACAGAGACAGGGGAATTTTGTTTGAGGAATGAATGGTGCTACAAATTCTGAACCAGACAACCCAGAATATGTCGAAATTGATCCCACCGGAAGATATGGAAGAGTACGTTTTGAAGTTTGAAGTTTTAAACCCATTGTTTCCCATCAATATATCTCGTGTTTTGTGTAACAAGTTTGGATTTTTATGTGAAACCCATTTCTTTTTTTGCATTGATTTCTTCAGTACAATGAAGTTCTCGGCAAAGGAGCATCGAAGACAGTGTAAGAAACAAGAATCTCTTCTGTTTCTCTTTTTTCTTTCTTTCTCCCACTTTTACCTGTTCTAATGGGTTTTGTCTTTTTTGTTTGTTGAAATTAGTTACAGAGCCTTCGATGAGTACGAAGGAATTGAAGTGGCGTGGAATCAAGTGAAGCTCTGCGATTTTCTCCAAACTCCTGAAGATCTCGAAAGGCTGTACAGGGAAATCCATTTGTTGAAGACTCTCAAACATAGAAACATTATGAAATTCTATTCTTCTTGGGTCGACACTGACAATAGAAACATTAATTTCGTCACAGAGATGTTCACTTCCGGCACTCTCAGACAGTGAGTTCCAATTTTCATGGAGTTTCCCCAAATGGGGTTTGGTAAAAATCTCTTCTTTTACTAAAATTTCTCTCGTTTGCAGATACAGGCTGAAGCACAAGAGAGTTAATATCAGAGCTGTGAAGCATTGGTGCAGACAGATTTTAAGAGGTCTTCTCTATCTTCATAGCCATGACCCGCCAGTAATCCACAGAGACCTTAAATGTGACAATATTTTTGTCAATGGGAATCAAGGGGAAGTTAAGATTGGTGATCTTGGGCTTGCTGCTATTCTTCGTAAATCCTATGTTGCTCGTTGCGTTGGTAGGTCGCAATTAAATTTATTGTAATCTATTGGGTTCTGTGATAATCGGAAGGTGTGTGTTCTCGAACTCTAGTAATGTCATCTTCATTTTCAGGAACACCGGAGTTTATGGCGCCGGAGATTTATGAAGAGGAGTATAATGAATTGGTGGATATATATTCTTTTGGAATGTGCATTTTGGAGATGGTTACTTTTGAATATCCATACAGTGAATGCTCCCACCCTGCTCAGATTTACAAGAAAGTTACATCAGTAAGAGTTCAGTTTTTTCTTTTTCAGCTTCATTTTATTTGTATCAATTTGGTTACATTTCTTCCATCTGTGTTCCTTTTTCCTTTTAGGGGAAGAAACCAGATGCTTTGTATAAGGTAAAGGATCTCGAGGTTCGGTATTTCGTCGAAAAATGCTTGGCTACTGTATCAACTAGGCTCTCTGCTAGGGAGCTTTTGAATGACCCTTTTCTTCAAGTTGATGGTTGTGATTCATTGCTGAGGCCAATGGACTACTATTCAGAATTTGATGAACTGAACAATCCCCTCATTAGAGGGCCTCTTTATGGAATTTCTCATGGTCCTTTGGACTATTTTGGTCATGAGGCTGAGAATGCTTTGGATTACCGTCATAATGAAGCGAGCGAAATTGATCTTTTTTCCTGTCAAGAGGATGAGCATTTGGAAGATGTTGATATTAGTATCAAAGGGAGAAGGCGAGGCGACGACAGCATATTTCTACGACTCCGAATTGCAGACAAAGAAGGCAAGGAAAAGAATCCCAATGAAGCTGAGAAATGGTTATGTCGATCTATGAATAACGATATGTTTCTCGTATTGCAGGTCGGATTCGGAACATCTACTTCCCCTTTGATTTGGAGAATGACAGTGCTGTGAGTGTTGCAAATGAAATGGTTTCAGAGCTTGACATTACTGATCAAGATGTGAAGAAGATTGCTGATATGATAAATGGTGAGATTGCTACATTGGTGCCTGAGTGGAAGAGGGGAACAAGCTCAGAGGAAACTGCAGACTGTTCTGATTCTAATGTTTGTCAAAATTGTGCTTTAAACAGTTCTATTTTGGATTACGTTTCGCCGAATAACCCCGGGAACAAGAACCTGCACATTCTTCAGTGTTCCGAAGAGCACGGATGCGCTTCCATCCATGGCCGTTTTGAAGAGATCACCTACCAAGTTGAAGGGTCAGAACAGTTCGGTGGAGATGAAAATTCGCATAGAAGATCATCCGAGAATTCGAGCGACATCCGGTACGCCGATATTTGGGCGCAAAGAGATGGACCAGAGATTGTCTCACATGAATCTGAAGAAGTCAGTTGCAATGAGTCACATGGAGCATTGGAACAGCCGGAACTGGAGAAGGAAGGAAGAAGTGTAAATATGGAGAATCATCAAACTAGAAACTCTTGCTCGTCGAATCCTTCTTCGATGTCGTTTGCTTTCCCCGACGATCACGAGAACGAAATTCGACAAGAACTCAGATGGCTCAAGGCTAAATACCAAATGCAGTTGAGGGAACTAAGGGATCAACAGTTGGGAGTCAAATCCAACGCCGGAGCTTTGGTATCCTTTGATGAAGCAGCAAAACATAAGCCTCTCCTCACAACCATCTCCTCTGGCAAGAATTTCACTCCACATCTCCCCCTTAAAGACAACATTTTGGAAAACCAGACGTTTCAACACGACATCAATGTCGTCGACGAGCCGTGTAGCCCTGAGCCGACGCTTACTGCCAAGAGTTTCTATACAGGAGCATTGTTTCCACATTCTCTTCAAAGAGCAACCTCCCTTCCTGTGGATGCTATAGACTTTTAGAATCCATTGGAAACTCTCACTAATACTACTCTCTCCTCACCAATAGTAACCCAACAACAAAATTGTTACTATAACAGATACAAGTTGTAAACTTTACTACTACTTGGCCTCTACTAAACAACGTCTCCCAAAACAAAAGGAAAAATACAGTAAAAAACAGCCCATTTGTTTTAATTAGTGGATGCTTTGTGAGTTTATGAGCTGTTTTTGGCCTTATTTGCTTGTCAATTGGCAAGCTGAAGGATGCCATTTCAAGGCACTTTCTTTTATGGTCCCTAAGCATTTTGAAGCTCATATTGAATTGGCATGAGCCTGATTGCCGCGGCATGCCCCAAGTTGGGCAACTTGGTTGGGGCCTTTAAATATGAGGCTCTTGTGGCTCTTTACCAATCCTTTGAAAACAAATAAGAAAACACACATCTTTCTTTTTGCTATTCTCATCCTTATCAAATCAAGAGTATGGTATATATTGTCCTTCTAATGCTTATGTTCATGTTTGAGCGGGTCGTTTTATTTTTAAGGTTAAGTTATAAGTTTCGTCTCTGAACTTCTAGAATTGTGTCAATTAAGTCCTCGTACTTTAAACAATTTTTACTAGGGTTTGGGACTTTTTTAAGGGCGTTTCTATGTGGTTTAAGTTTAAAGAGTTTCTAAGAGATACGTGAACTTTAAATTTTGTGTCTAGTGGATACTCGTTATTGACTCTACCAATTTAATGCTTACATGTCATGTTGTTGGTATAATTAAAGATTACTTTTGTGAGCTGATTTCAAGTAGATCAAGTGTTTAGTAATGTAGAGGGGTATGAGATACAAAATTAAAAATTTAATGACCTATTAATAACAGTTTAAAGTATATAGATAAAATAGACATAATTTCGAAAGTTTGTGACCTATTATAAATTTTTTTTTGAGTACATGGACTTAACAAGCACAATATTGAATATTCATGGCAAAACTTATAATTTAACCCATTTTCAAATTCTAAATGAAGATGTGGTTTCATAGCTAGATTTTTTTGGGATGCCAATTGATATTTGATAGGAAAAACCCTCCAACTTTTACCACAGTAGCAGAAAATAACTTTGAAGCACAAATGTGAAAAACTCTCCATTGAAGAAAGATTCAAAGCACATTACCTCACTGGGTAAAAAATATTACAATCACACGTAATTTTCTTCCTTACCCTATTAAAAAAAATACACTAGACGGATAAAATCTAAAATCATAAACTTATTTTGAAGCACGTTGGGTACAATCACCTTAGCGTGCTTTTAAGACATGCGATATTTGCTCTTCTAATATTTTTCCAAAAATCGAGCGATTACGAGACTGCATTTTTGAGGTAGCTTCAATGCATTAATGGCTGCTGCAAATGGCGGAAAGAGATTCCTGAGATCACTTTTTTTCTTAAAAGTGGCTCCAAAAGCCAGCCTTCCCACGTTGAATTGAATAGAAGAAAGTGGAGAAAAAAGTGGAAGGTATCCGTACCACCAGCAAAGCATGTCCCTTTGAAACCAAACACTTACAAACCCAACTTTCTCATTCTCAACATTCACTCAAATATACCTATCAAAAGCATTTTCTTTTCTCCTTGTATATCGAAATTTGTTGAGAATGCTGCTAAAGTCTCGTATAACTCGTATAAGAAAAACTGTGAAGGCTCCGATTTGAAACAGACGATATTATACTATTGTAAAAAGATAGAGAGGTTAGTTGTTCTGAATTATGATCACTCTGATCAACGAATTATTTAATATTGAGATGAACAATTAGAATTGCATACCTCCAATCGAAGTTTATCTTTGTATTTATAGGCGTAGATAGGTGGGTCCTACTTCGTCAGTTACTTTTAGGATGTGGGTAATGGACGATTATGAGTGGTCCTATTATACATCAGCTCAATCTTTACTAAGGTTGAGGTTGATACCGAGGCCCTAAAGTGTTATTCTTCAGTTATAGAAAGATTTAAGAGTTATTCCTCGATTCTTGTTAGCCTCTCTCCATCTTTCACATGGAAGGTCGTTTGACCTTGTCTAACATTATCAACAATCTAACAAAACTAAACTAACATAACTTATTGAGGACCGATGTTAAGACATCTTGTTCATTTGCTGGACGTCGAAGGTACAATTTAATTATACTTTACAAATCTGAAAGGGAAACCATCCAAATAGGCCCAAACTGAAAATTGAAAAAGACCATTCTACCCCAATGTCCAAGACAAATAAAGAGCCCTAAGCCCACAAATAAAAAGCCCAACAACAGTAAATAATATTTTTAAAAATCCCTAAATAAACATTTCATCTAAAACTCCCTGCATCACTGTGACGGGGAACAATGGTTTGCATTTTGCAATGCAAATAATACGAAAAGTAGGCCTTTTGGATTTAACTATTTTTCAAAAGTTTGGGCTCAACAAGTGGGCCTAATCAAAAACCCAGCCCACGAAATTCCGAACATTTATTTGAATACGGCCCATATTACAGCCCATCATCACCATCACGTCCAAGAAGGAAATATCCCGGTGCACTCGGAGTATGCTCACGCGCTCTGCTCGCGCGTGCCGACCAACTTCCTCGTCAATACCTTAACTAGGACGACCCCAACAAAACCAAAATACTACCCTATGAGCTATGCAGAATTGCAAACCCGAAAATAAAAAATTCCAAAAACGAAAAAAAAAATATATATAAATATATAGACATTCAAATTAAGTACAGTCAGAACTGTAAAAACAGCTAGCAATCTTCTTCTCCCACTGAGATCTTGCCACGCCATATTACAATCCACCGTAGCTCAGGTATCGTCCTACGTGGCCAGATCGTCACCGCTATCTGGCGTCCTGCTCCACCTAGGAAAACGAGATTTGGAGGGAAAAAGAAATAAAAAAGAAAAAAAAGAAATAATCTGAGTATTGTGCTTGAAAAATAAATGAAAGGGAGGGGGAAAAGAGAGAGGAGGAAAAAAAAGACTGCAAATTTTTATAATTGGTTTGGTTTTTAATAAAGTGGGCATGACGATCCTAACTAAGAGACTTGTGTCTGATCAGTTTCGTACGTCGGGGCATTGAGCGGCCAATTGAAGCCAATTTCCGGCCACGGAATTCTAGAGCTTTCTGTAGAGGTAAGATTCTTGATATCTCGTCCCCGGTGGGGGGTGCTTCTGTTTCGGTTTTTCTATTGGAAATCTTGGGGAATCGGGTCTGTTTGCTTCAGATCTGATAGTTTTGGTCGGGGTCTTTCGGGGGTATCAAATTAGGGTTCGTGTGGGCTGGATTATATTGGGTTTGCCGGCGAGCTCAATTTTATTATGGAGGAAAATTTCGTAATTTAGGGTTCTTGCCTTTGGGGTTGATTCACATGGAGGACGGTGTGAGATCTGCTGGTCCGTCGGGGGTTTTGGTGAAGACTAGGAACTCCTCTGGTTGCTTAATTGTTAGGAAAAAAGAGGATGGATTAGGAGGCGCCGCCGGTTCTTCAAGCTCACGCTTGCTGAATGCAAAGAAGGAGAAGAAGAGGCCGAGGTTGGTTTTGAGTGATTCTGGGTCCAGTGATGAGGTATTGCTGCCCCATCGCAGGCGGGTTGGTTCCGAAACCATTCGGGTTTGTAATGGTTTGAATTCTTTTGAAAAGGATATTGTGGACGAGAGTGGTAGTAGCAGAAAGAAGGATAGGTTGCAGTATGATAATCGGAATGATGATGGTCTGATCAACAGGATCGATGTGGATGGTTTGAGAAGAAATATGGACAACTTAGATGTCTTTGAGTTCAATGAGTACGATGAAATTGATGGTGAGAACAGGCGGAGGAAGCATTTTAATGGCAGTGGAGAAAGACGGTATCTTAGTTCCGTTAACCTGCCCCAAGGTGGCACCGAGAGGGAATTTGGAACCACTTCTAGCAGGCATGCTGTTGCGGACAAGAGAAAGAACTTGTATGTAGATCAAACCAATAGCTTTGACCGGGACAGGCCTCCCAGGAAGACTAATTTTGACACAGATAATGATGGTGCTCATCTCCCTATATCTTTGTTGAGAGAGAAGTTTAAGGGTCATTCTGATGAAGCAATCAGGGTTCAGGGGAAGAATGGAGTTCTGAAGGTCATGGTAAACAAGAAGAAGAATGTGAGTGGAGCTCCTGACATTTATGATCATCGCAAACTAGAACAAAGTAGAAAGAGTCTAAGGACTGAAGATACTTTGAAGAGGAAAATGTTAGTTACACCTTCAGTTTACCCAGAAACTCAACCTCATGTGAAACAGGATCCTTTTATAAAGCCAGAGAAGGACCATGCAGATTTTCAAACATCAGCATCAACAAAAACTGGCAAGGGTTGCAGTTGGGACTCAGGTGATAGCAGTGTTTCATTGAAGCCCAGAAAAAAGGTTGCTGAAGCTCACAAATCTACCAAGAGGGCAAGCTGTGAAGTTGAGAAAACTCCATGTGAAGAGGCTCCCCCAAGTACAGCAAAGGAAGGAAAGGTAAAACGAGGAAGTGGAACGGAAAAACAAAAGCTACGTGAAAGGATCAGGGGAATGCTCCTTAGTGCTGGCTGGAGAATTGATTACAGACCTAGAAGGAATAGAGATTATTTAGATGCTGTCTATGTTAATCCCGCTGGAACAGCTTATTGGTCAATTATTAAGGCTTATGATGCCCTTCAAAAGCAATTAAATGAAGAAGGAGCAGAGGCTAAACCTAGTGCTGACGGTTCATTTATGCCAATATCAGACGATATTCTTAGTCAATTAACCAGGAAAACTCGAAAGAAAATTGAGAAAGAATGGAAAAGTAAGCGAAGAGATGATAGTGACAGCGAAAATGGCAAAGAAGTAAGTGCACCGAGATCTGTTGGTACCAAAAATGACATGGACAGCATGGACAGTGATAGCAATGAAGAAAAATTAAGCTCTTTTATAAAGCAGGGTGGAAAATCTTTTAAAAATAAATCAAACGAGAATGGGTTTCCCAGTGTCAACTCAAAAGGTCAAAGTTCTAGTAAGCATTCACGTGACACCATTGGAAAACCTTCTTCTGGATTCAATTCACGTATTTTACATGGAAGGAAAGGAAGAAAGCTTGGATTGTTGGTTCGTGGATCTAGTAAGGGGTTAGATTCAGAGAATGATGGGTTTGTTCCATATACTGGTAAAAGGACTCTACTTTCCTGGCTTGTTGATTCTGGAACTGTGCAGTTGAGCCAAAAGGTCCGGTACATGAATCGTAGACAGACCCGAGTGATGCTCGAGGGGTGGATTACCAGAGACGGCATTCATTGTGGTTGCTGTAGCAAAATCCTTACTGTTTCGAAGTTTGAGATTCATGCTGGAAGCAAACTACGCCAACCCTTTCATAACATCTTTTTGGAGTCTGGGGTTTCTCTTCTGCAGTGCCAGATAGATGCATGGAATAGACAGGAGGAGGGTAAACGCCTCAGTTTCCACACAGTGGAAATTGACGGCGATGATCCAAATGATGATACGTGTGGTATCTGTGGAGATGGTGGAGACTTGATCTGTTGTGATGGGTGTCCATCAACTTTTCATCAGAGCTGTTTAGACATTCAGGTGTGTGTTTAGTTCTTCCTTCTTGCTGGTTTATAGGTTCATCCCTATTGTGTTGCAAGGTGTACCGTATCTTTTTCCATCATTAATCCCCATTCTCTTGTGGTCCCTTGCCACTTGTTCAATTTTATTTATTGGTCACAATTTATGATTGTAAATTTCTTAAGAAGCTGGAAAGATTGTATAACTGAGTTTAGGGAGTTATGTGCAGATGAGGATGGGATTATTTGTTTGGACATTCTCTCACAGGCATGTGTACACACAAAATTTTGTATAGTAAGCTGTGAAAATTGGCATTGACTGTGGTTTTTGTGATTTAACACGTTTTATTTGTCTCTGTCCTCTCTTCCCTTCTCTTTGTATGAGTTATTTTAGCTCATTTTATGTTTTTGATCAGTTATCCCCAAATAAAAGTTATTTATTATCAACCAGGAATTAGTTTAGCGTAGATTAGTTGAATACTTTGTCTCATGTTGGCTTGGTATCTCGATATTTATATATATGTATATTTTCGCACACACAATTGGGGGAAGCCACTATTCTATATGGTTTCCTTCAAACTTAAAGCAGCGAAATTTGTGTATTCGTTTCCAAATATTTACAAATACACAAGATTTGACCCTTGATTGTTTCTTCCTTTGTTACAGATTCCTCCTGGCGACTGGCACTGCCCAAATTGTACTTGCAAGTATTGTGGAGTTGCCAGTGTTGATGTTTCTCACGGAGACGATAACGTTGGTTCTGTGATATCAAGTTGTATGTTATGTGAGAAAAAATGTACGACTTTAATTCCTTTTATCGGTTTTGTCTTCTCTCTTGCTCTCTCAACCACTGTGATTTTAGAATTTTTATTTTGGTTATTGCCGCAGTTCATGAATCTTGCATTCAAGAGATGGATACTTCTATTTCCAATGGTGCAATCACTTCTTTTTGTGGCAAGACCTGCCGAGAGGTAGCAAAAATTTTCTATTTCTTTCATCTCTCGTGTCTTCTCTTTTACTATGACTTAAAAATTTTCGTTAGATATTTGTTACTGTGGATGATTAAGTTTGTTGAGAAATTTTGGTAATTACTTACCTTTTCATCGGTTTGTTCTTTTTGTTTTTGTGAAGATTCTTACGGATGTGTTCGTTTTCGATATGTCTAGCTTACTATTGATGAAAACCACCAAGAGATTAATTAAACCAGAGCCAAACATTTCTTTTCTTTCTTTGTTTCTTGTTCCGTTAGTGATGCTCCAACGATTGCTTTATGTAGACCTGCATACATATTTGGTTGATAATTAAGTTCTCATGCAACTTTAAGACATTTCAATAACTAAAAGTTGGACTAGTATTAATATGATTTCTCAACATTAGAAGTTGCAATCTGTCCGAGATGGAAGGGTAGAATTTAAAATTTTTTAAATGAACTCCAATTGTCTTTTTTCTTTTTTTTTTTCCTAATGAAAATATAGTTATATGATTTTCATGTTTCATAACGTTTTGACAAACAAATCTTTGTTTGATTAAAACCTTTTATTTTCAAGAAAATTTAGGTAATTGACCATATCTTGATTACTCTTATTTAATCTTATTTTGTGCACAGCAGCCACTTGGTGCAAGTTAGAAAAATCTTTTTGCAATTACTCTTTTAGATTTTTATTTTATTTTATTTTTTTGTAAATTTCATTACATCAATGAAAGAGTTGCTGTTTCCCTTAAAAAAAACCTCTTGTCGTGGAACTTTTCCTTTTTAATGTTCATGTACCTTGGAGCTTCTCCCTGTTATGCTTCAATCACTTGAATGTGGTAGTGAATATGGACTTCCATGATATTGTGCTTTTTGTCTGTGCATGCTGGTGACCATGTCGTGATAAGGTTCCTAAGTTACTACATTACCCTGGTGGATGTTTTCTAATTTCAAGTTGTTCTAAGAAATTCTATTTCTCCCCACTGAAATATTCCCAGAGTATTAATTTTTGTTTTTTACAGCTTTTTGAGAGTTTGCAGAAGTATCTTGGGGTGAAACATGAATTAGATGCAGGATTCTCATGGTCTCTCGTTCGTAGAACTAGTGAAGATTCAGATGCATCTCTTCGAGGACTTTCTCAAAGGATTGAATGCAATTCTAAACTGGCTGTTGCATTAACAGTTATGGATGAATGCTTTTTGCCTATTGTTGACAGGAGGAGTGGGATAAATCTAATTCATAATGTTCTCTATAACTGTGGGTAAGAAGAGCTGTTTTCTTGACTGAAGTAAAAATGATGTAGTTTGTTTCCAATCATCTTGATTTTGATATTCTAAGAGTGCTCTTTCAAGTGATAACATATCATGAAGACAAGCTTGGTTTTATTCCATTGTTACCATTAACAATATTTCTTAGCTCTTTATGTTAACTGTTGTACTTGCTGAAATTTCTATTATCCGATTAGGTGGTACTGAGCATCCGGTGAACAAGTACTTTCATTTTTTTTTTGGACAAGAAACATAAACTTTTCAGTGAGATTTTTATTAAAGAGAAACATTACTTTCAATTTCTTGATATTCTGATACAGAATTCATTCTTGTCTTGCAATCTTCCTTTGTATTGTCTATACTTCTATTGGCACGCTACAAGCTTTTCTCTCTCTCTATCTCTCTTCACTTTTACGTTTACTTTTGCTATATCTACTTAATGTTGGTTGCTCCAACATGGATAAAACTGCTTGATCACAATCTCCTGCAAATTTTTTGTTTTCAAAATCATTTTCTTAACAAGGTAATTGATGAGTTTTATGTTTAACTTTTCAGATCAAACTTTTATAGGCTGAACTATAGTGGCTTCTACGCTGCCATTTTGGAAAGGGGTGATGAAATCATCTCTGCAGCAACAATCAGGTATCACGCATCACACTTTATGGTTTTGTGTGTTCATATTAGCTTGGTATTGGCAGAAGGAAAAAAAATCAAATAGACCGAGCTGTGGATTGAAATATTTGTATGTTTCTAAATGTAAATTTGATTGATGAATGATTTAGGAGAGTTCATGTTCTGGTTTTTGTATGGCTTGTTTTTTGGCAGTTGTACTGATCTTGCCAGTTGATGGGTTGTAAATTGGTTCTAGTTGTATTATCGTGTAAGTGTGCAAGTAAGGGATTTCATTTGCATAAGAAGGTTTTTCCACAAATCCTCAGAATGCTTCTGTGTGATTTTATCGGATGCTGTAAAGTTGCAGTGCTGTTATATTGGAACTTTAATGTTCTAAAAACAGAACTCTCCTTTTGGATTTATTTGATCCATTAAAAGAAAACGAGCCTTCATTGTCAGGTGGGGTTTTTAGAAAGGCTCCTGAACTTGTAGTCAGCTTTGATGGGAGGGACTTAATACGGGAGAGTCTATATACATCTTTTCTTTTCTTTTGGTGGTCCGTAGGTAGGGAGTTGTTGTCAAGTGTAGTTGTGTGTCCAGTTAGTGAGTTTTAGATATGATAGTAAAAGTTGAAGACTTCATTTGATAAAAGTTAGCTTTTACATATAATCGATAATTCATCTTCACGGATTTGAGATGTTTTAATCTTATGACTTTCTGGATAAAGATATGCCTACAAGATGGAGTGTTTGACTTTTTTTATTCTTGCTTGGGTTGTATGGTTTTGCTGATGTGTGCTATCTTTTATATGGTTAGGTTTCATGGGACTAAGTTAGCTGAGATGCCATTCATTGGAACCCGCCATATCTATAGACGTCAAGGAATGTGCCGTCGGCTTTTTTGTGCAATTGAATCCGTAAGTTACAAGAAAGATGTTACTTAATCTCATCCTATTTGTTGGTAGTTTACGGTCATGGGTTTGAAAAAAGTTATATTTTGAACTTCTTTTCTTCAATGCCTCAAACCTCTATTGTGTTTTTCTTCTGTTTAGGCTCTCCGCATGTTCAAGGTTGAGAAACTGATTATACCAGCAATCGCTGAACTCATGCATACATGGAATGTGATTTTTGGCTTTAGTCCTTTGGAGCAATCACTCAAGCAAGAAATGAGATTGATGAATATGTTGGTGTTCCCTGGTACAGACATGTTGCAGAAGTTGTTAATCAAAGAAACAACTGTTGAGGATAATGCTACTTCTGGCTCAGGTTTTGATATAGATGTCTTTGTTGTTTGTTTGCTTTATTTTTTCTTTTTCCTTTTTTTAATTGGTTTGTCTGCTAATGTTTATTCGTCTGTTTATGCTTAAAAGGTGCAAAGCAAACGGATTGTGGAAGTACAGAGCTCTGTAGTCCTAAGATCGATACAGAGACCTCATCTGGGCATGAACCTCAAAGTTGTGATGACAATGAACGGCATAACTCTAAGGAGATAACAAACGAAGTAATTGTCACTGACCGGAATCCTGAATCCGTGTCTGTTTCTCAAAACGATACTTCCGTGGTGAATAGTTCCCTGGATGCATTTCATGAAGTTAAACCTTCATGTTTGCCAAAGGAAGCTGTAAATTCAGATTCTCATTCTGGTGATGAATCTGCTAAATGTCCCTTAGACAGGAAATGTTCGTCTCCATCTGATGCAAGGTGCGACCCTCTTCCAACCAAAAATAAGCCTGAAGTTCACCATGGCATAGAGGACCATTCGCGGTCCACTTCCCAATGTATGGCAGTTGACACATCAGACAGTTTTCACGAACCTAAGGCTGACTCTTATGCTGGGCACAAGTTGGCTGAATCTGGTTCTGAGAAGAAATCTGTTCCTTCAACTTTAGTGAATGGCACTGATGAGTTCGAAAATACACCCATAATGGATTCTTCTGAAGATGATTCTTTGAATAAGATTAATGGCCATGATTGTGAAGAAGATGCCCATGCTGATGCTCTTAAACCTGCTCATTCGGATGAAAATTTTGCCGATGGCATTGTCTGTGAAAGTCCACTTGTCCATACTGCTGGTTTGTGTGGCACTAATGGACGCCCCTTGGATATTTTATCTGATTGCAAAAATCCAATAGCTTGTGGGAAAGAAGCTATTTCTGAGGGAATGTGTTGCAGCGAAAATTCTTCACATTCAAGTGGGGATTTGCAGGAAGATAGAGCTGAATCTGGTTCAGTTTGATAAATTTGAGACTCCAAGTTGATGTTTCATCTCCAAATTACCTGGGCTATTTCTCGTGCCAACCAGTTTGCTGGTTTCTGCAGGGCTCTGTTGCTAAATGACTTGTGCTTAACTTGAGAACGAGTTGCAATAATCAATATTGCTATTTGACGGGATTTATTCAACTTTACGCTGAGTTTGGCAATTTAGATCATAATCCAACTTGGGTGATTGTTAACATGATTTTTTCGGCCCTGGAGTTCTCAGAGGTGTCCTTGATGGAGGAAGTAGCATGGTTCTGTTCACTGCCTATCTCTTCTGAAATTGCTGCTGTGATATATGAACTCAATATGGCTGGCTAGCTTTGAAGCTCAGACTCCATGGTCTGGTGAGATCCCGCTTCGGTTTAATAGGTTCGGTATCGGTACCTCTTCAAACCAGCACATATTATAGAAATGGAGCATTTCCATTCATGATCAAGGTAAGCTAATCTGTTGGAGCAAAATCCTGTTGTAGTATTAGTGATTGATTACATGGTTCCAGCGCCACGATGTCTCGACAGTATCTGTTAACCGGCGAGGTGATCACCATCACAAGAGAGCTAGAGAATTTAAAATTCTGTAGGTTTTGTGGTGGGGTGTTTAAGATAAATATATTGATATTCATTCATATGAGCATCCTTTTGTATAGGCTGTTTGCTGGAATCTCCAAGCTTTATAGTCATCTCTCATTTTGTTGTGTATTTTTTGCTGCTGTTTGTGTATCAGGGCATCTTCTAATTTCAGAAAATTCAGCATTTTTCTCGGAAGCTACTTCTTTTCCAACCATGAGAGTTGATGGTTGGTTTAAGTTTAAGGTGTGGGAAAGAAAAAAAAAAGAGTAAAAGAAAGATATAGTTTTTAGTCCCTGTAAGAGATGGTGAGTCCATTGTTCTCTTCTCTAACTGTTGTTGGAATTACTTCTTATATGAAGATGAAATTGTAATTATCTGATGCACCTGTATTTCGTTTGAAATTTGTTTTTTCAATTACTTTTTATATGATTCTTTTTCCAAACACATAAATGGTGTAATACTACTGTGTTAAATGAACTTTTGAAGAGTGACATGATTCATATCTAACTCAAATTCAAACTTGATGTAAATAAGTTTAGTGCAAGTAGGGGAGATTTGAGCGTCCCGTAATGATCAGATTGGTGCTCATAAGGTTGTAAGTCCGAATTTTCAGTTCTACATGTTATAAAAATGATCATTGAGATTTTAGTACTACAAAAATTTAGAGGCGTATGCTTTTGATGAAATTTTGTTATAATTTTGAGTTGTCTAGGTATATTTCTAAAAAAAATATATAATCTATGAATTCATTAAAAAGCTAGCTTATTTAAAAATATGTTAAAATATTATTTTATTTTGTATACTTTCAATTTTTATTTATTTTAAAAATTTTTAAAATATCTATTTTAATTGTTGTATTCTCTAACTTTGGTATATTTAATCTTTGTACTTCTGAAATGTTCTTTTGGTTCACGTGGATCGTTTTGTCCATTCATTTATTTTTTATCTCATTTTTTCTATCATAATTTCAACATGACACTATATTCAATGTTCTTTTTAAAATGTAGTCATAATTTTATATTAAAATAATTTCTATTATATAGAATTTGTATTAAAATTTTGCAAACAAAAACCGAAATGAATATTTTAAAAATAGTTAAGAGTATCTTCAAATTTCCAATATCCAACTTCCAACCCCAAGGATTGGAAGCATCGTATTAAAAGATAATTTATTAAGGTAAAATCACAGCGAGAAAAATGGAATCTTTTTTCTTCCAGGGTTGAGGACCTTCAGTTTTGACTTTGGGAGGCCACCTTCGTTGGTCTCAGGTATTTTTGTTTACAGTTAAACCCAAAATCCCCTTTCTAATGGAGCTTTCTGCATCTCCCCGCCTCCTAAATTCTCCCACTTTGCTGATGCTTCTGAGACCCAAGGTCGGGATTAGGGTTCCTCAAATTCCTTCCTCGCCATTCCATCTTCATCGCTCTGTTTTATCTGTCAAACTCAGTGACAGAATGGAATTTAAAAGGACAGTGAATTGTGCTTCTTCATCTCAAGGAAACGGGTCACCGGTAGTCACTTCTTCAAATGCTTCAGGTTGAGTCTGAACCCAGTTCTGAATATACTCACTGATTTTCGTCATGGGCTTTCTGAAATTGATGGTGCTCCTCGTGATTTTTTATTTTTTTTCTGTTCGAATTTTCAGGACCTCGAGTTGGCGAAGTGAAAAGGGTCACTAAAGAAACGAATGTATCGGTCAAGATAAACTTGGATGGCTCTGGGATTGCGGATAGTAGTACTGGGATACCATTTCTTGATCATATGTTAGATGTTAGTGGTTCCCCAATTTTGTACTCGAAATTCTCTTTTTCTTTTAAGAAAGCTCCTAACTGAGAGTAACTGGTTGTTTTTAGCTTCTTCCTATCTGAAATTTGGATTACAATAGTATTTTTGCTGTGGAATTTGTTATATAGTAGTTCTTTTGATTGTATCGGTGACTAATTTTGTTTATTTGATCATGTTAGCAACTTTCTTCACACGGGCTTTTTGACGTGCACGTAAGGGCTACGGGAGACATCCACATTGATGATCATCACACCAACGAAGATGTTGCCCTTGCAATTGGATCGGTATTGCATAATCTATTACATAAGTTGAAATTCTTAGTTTTCCAGATTGTATTACTGTATGACTGGAGACATTTTCTATGTCGATAGGTTCAGTGTCAAATTATCAGGCAAAATTCCATCATATTTTCTACTGCAAGTTAATACGCTAGATATTCTTGCTCTTTAGGCTTTGCTGAATGCACTTGGTGATCGGAAAGGAATTTACCGGTTTGGAGACTTCTCAGCTCCTCTTGATGAAGCACTTATACATGTCTCCCTAGTATGATCCTGCGACATTCTTCTTTACTTAAGCTTTCATGTTCTTGGTGTTAATAATCACTTTTAGATTATTTGTCAATGCAAGTTATAATTGTCTTCCACTGCAAACTAACCTTCAATTACCTTAAATGATTCACTTGTTAGAGAATAAGTCTCATAGTTTCAGAATTCAGAGCAATAACTCTAATGGGGTGGGGCAATGATGTAATTGCTAGAGCTAGACAATTTGTGATTTAGGGTGAGTGTTCGATGACTTTTGGGACGGTGAAAAGTGCTTTAAGCCCACTAAAAGCATTTTTCAATATTTATATAGTATTTGATTATGTAATTAAAAGTGATGTTGAAGATTCTAAGAAGACTAAAAAAATACTTTAATTGCATTTTAGGAGAATCACTCAATTAGTTGTTCTTCCAAAAGTACTTAGAGAAAAAGTGCTTTCATTGAAACTTGAGAGTATTTTCACTATGCACCCTTAAGCTAAGATAGGCTTAAGATTAGAGCTGTCTGTAAATCAGTTAGAGCAGGGAAGTGGCAGGGTTGGGAAATGGGAAGGATTTATAGTAGCTTTTGGAACCTATGGTTAGGAGAGTTGAGACCTCTTATATGTTCGAAGATTAAAATCTGCATTTTGTATATATTCTGATTTTGCAAGTATATTTTATGCCTTTGCGTGTATTGATTCCTTCTTCTGCATTCTAGTAACTTCAGTTAGAGTTAATATACAGGATTTATCTGGACGACCTCATTTGAGTTATGACCTAGAGATACCTACTGAGAGAGTTGGAACATATGACACTCAGGTGATCAAAACAGTTCTTTTTTCATTTATGCTTTCATGCCATCATCTCGGTGGACCTAATTTGATCTTGTTTCTATTGGAATGGTTTCTAACACTTATATTTTTATGTTAAATCTAATCCTCATAGTTGGTGGAGCATTTTTTCCAGTCTCTGGTGAATACTTCCGGTATGACTCTTCACATTCGACAGGTATAAGAAACTTGGAGCAGTTTTATAACATGATGGAATAAAGCCCCAAAACAATGAATCATGTAACTCTTTCAATTCTTGTTGTATTTGCCTCATTTGCAATAATCTGTTTTCATAGTCCTAATTGTGCATTACAATTATGTCTATTGGAAGATTTTTAAAATATATTGTTTCTGCATGAGTCAAAGTTCCTTATCTTATGATTATCCATCAGTCTCATGATTGTACTATATATAATATAGCTATATTGGATGTCCAGTTTTTGTAGCTAACTTCTGTTCTAAATTTTTTCTTTTCAAAAACAACTTGTTGACGAACAGCTTTCTGGAAAGAATTCTCATCATATTATTGAAGCAACATTCAAAGCATTTGCCAGGGCCCTCAGACAAGCAACGGAGTGTGATCCACGTCGACTTGGCACTGTGCCCAGGTATGATTTCCTATTTGTCCACTTGGTTGTCTATCTCTTTTCTTTCTAAGCTATACTATACATCAATTGAATTACCTTTGACATGTCGTGACAATGTTTCTTTTGTTTGGTCTACAGTTCAAAAGGTGTGTTATCACGTAGTTGATTGTCGACATCATCATGGAAAGACTAATTTGTGCATACAGTAAGGTATATTTGATCGGAGCTCCACTTTATAAGCGAATGATTAACGCTTGCTTCGGTCCTGTTTGGAGATGGATGTTTGAGCAGAAAGGTGATGGCTGAAGGATTCTTGTATGGTTGATGATAGAACAATATTGTATATGAAAATAGCTTATGCTTCAGCTTGACTCATTTTTCGTCATATGTCTCTGTTGTAATGATATTTATACATTTGATACCCAGTGCCGTCTCGCACTTTTTTTTTTTGGGCCTCGTGCTTAAATTCTAAAGGATTATTGTGCTTTAGTGTGCCTTGAGCAAAACACTGCTTCTGTTGAATAATACTGACCAACAAAGGCTCAAATTCAGTGGCTGAGGATTGATTTATTTTATTTATTCTTATTTTATCTTTTTATTCATTATGCATTTGGGAGAGAGGATAAGAGCAGAAATGGCTTATCCAGATGTTAGGAAGTTCTAAAATTTGTAGTATTTCACTAGAAAATTATGAATTTCATTGTAGTCCAAAAACTGATTTACAACATTCAAATGGTCACATGTTACACAGTAGCCAATTTCAGAAGATGTGAACACTTATGCTAGGTTTTTAGTAAGTGATGTACAAGACCTCATCAGCTACTACACTGAGTTTTACAATTTTCTGTTCTTTTTCTTGTTCAATCCATTGAACGTAAATTTCTTTTTCTACTTAGCCAATTTCACAGATGAGAAAGTATTGAATCTGAACACTTTGTGTGATCAAGAAGGATGGAGGAGCATAGCAACAGAAGTAGCCGCAAAACTCAAAAATCTCAGAGGTGAAATGTTATGTAACAAAAATATTCATTTAGAGCTCTAAAACCAGTCAATTACAAGAATTCTTCAGCCTTGTCCAGATCATTCAGTATATCAGATTTAACAGCTTCTGGCAGTGGCGCAGATGGTCCAGCCTTTGCATAAAAGCTGGCCAATGACCTTATTGCTTTCTCTAGCTCAGCGTAAGATTCCTGCAAGTGATTTATGGAAGAAATGTTATAAATTCCTGATGATCATCATGAACTACATTATCTGTTTTTCACTTGTATACCTCTTGAGCAACTGTTTGCTGCCCCAACCAATTGCTTAAATAATCTCGAATCGATTCTTTTGCAGCGTCTGCAGTTCGTCTAAATTTAGCGCCATCCTTGGGGTCTTCCTGTACTGACTCACGCAGTGTCTTCACCAACTCCCTTGCAGACTTCAGGTAAGCCTTTGGCAATACTTTCCCGGATTTGGTTCTCTCATTTGGATCAAATATCGATTTAATCACCCCGACAACTCCATTATCCTCCTCCTGCTTGTCATTTGGGGTTTCTTCGGCCCGGGCCAGCAATGGCATCGATCCATTGTTAAATGCGAGAAACACAACCAATGACATGCCATTACACAATAACTGACGTCTACAAACTTCTTGAGATGGAAGCACAACTTGAGACCTGGATCGCAGTTTATCTGTTAAGAAAGAAAGAGTAGAAGAATGAAGTTCTTGTATGGGTGCATTCAGATTCAGGAACGTGAGAGTAATTCAAGACCATGCCTACAGCAATACATTTGAAATTTAAAAGCATCTAAAAGAATCCTCATTTTCCCAAGAATGAGGCTGTCTTACGAACGAAATTTAGATTTGACAATGGCTACAGATCCATAACATAAACTTATGGCTACAGGTGATGTTACTCACCCCCATTTTCACTTCTAAAGATTCTATCCAATGATGAAGTAGTTCTGGGACAGATCTTTGCTTGCATAAATGCAGCCATCTTCGTCCTAGTTTATTACTCCAACCAAAATGAGCCTCTATACACTTCCGGCTCCAGCTTCATCCCCTGCAGGAAAATAAACCATTATTCTGTGAAATCGTGGGTTCCGTGTAAAACAAACCTCCCCATTGCAGCCTCTGATTAGAACAAATTAGAAAACCAAACCATAGAAATCTTTTCAAATGCTGTACTCATTAAGCCTGTTGTGGTCGAATTAGATTCTGTTCATCAATTGAATACCGAATTTGCGACAGGAACAGACTGATCAAGTCAACCAGAGCCATGGGTGTGCGTGTGCGTACCTAATCTTTATCTTTCTGCCAGCATTGTTACAGAGCAGCGAAGAATCAGTGGGAAGCCGAATCCTGAGAAGAGGATGAACTTGGAAACCTAATCAGGTAAAGAAATTGGAAGATAATTAGTTCAAGTTCAAGTTCTTACTTCTGGATATGCAGAGAAGAGCTTTCCGTCGATCTCTTGGTGCAGCGCGAATTGGGATTTGGAAAGAAACAAGCTTTATCGTTTGGATTTGGGTTTTTATAATCGTCCCGGAAATGTGGATACAGACTTTATCCATACAAATCTGAGGTTTATATTATAGGTGTATTTTTAAAATGTTATATCACACAAAATTCATTTAAATTAACTCGATAAAAGTAGATAATCATCTTGTATTTTTAATTGTACCTTTTAGGCTAGTTATTTAATTATGTCCACGTTGTTTCCGATTCAACGGGTTAGAATTTGAGTCTCCAACTTTTTAGATTTATGACTTAACCAATTAATTATACTCTTGTCAATAACAATAAACCTTTATAAATAATGTATCTTGCAAATTTGATACTAAATTAAAAATTAGAAAATAAATAAATTAGAATTAAAAATTAGAAAATAAATATATTAGTATTGAGTAAGGATGTTTCAACTTGTGTTATTTAATAATTATATTACACAATATTTTACATATGTCCGTTTAATTTGAGATTTTGATTCTAATAAATCTTATTCATTGCATCTAAGTATGAATATCCCACCAAATATATTTTTTTATTTTTTAAATCCACATTATATAAAGAAAATTTAAAAAACAATGTAGAACCACCAATTCTATCATTTTTATTTTATTTTAATAAATTGCAAATTATATATGATTTTAGAAATCCAAACTATGAAAATCACTTAAAAAATCCACACCATTAAATTTGTTAGCCCACCTGCTTTCATAATTTATTATTCACACAGACAATTAAATAACTATAGATTTATTAAAATCTGAGAATTTGTGTACCATGAAAATTTCAACCAAAATATTGATTAATAATCAATAAAATGTGAGAGTGGAGGAATATTTTTGAAAAGGCTGTAAAGATAAGTTAAATTAACAAATAAACATTTCACAACTTTTGAATAAAATATACATTTTTATTAATATTATATCTATATTTGCATTATTTTAACTATAGAAATATGGATAAAAATATTAACAATAATGTTAAAAGAAGCATTGAGAAGTTGGATAAAAATACGGGAATCGAGAAGCAATCGCGTATTATCGCCAGAATAAAATCCTCACTCACCGCTCCGTCTTCCCGAAGCCAAAACGGTGATTTTTTCTGTTCTCTCTTTCGTAAACCCTAGGCGGCTCCGCCCGCTTTTGGAGCAGCCATGGCCGGCGGTAACAATACCACCAAGCCATCTCAGAAACCTTCTTCTTCTTCCGCCGCCCCGTCTAACCGGAAATCCCGTTGGGAGTCCACCTCCAACAATAATCCTCCCTCCGATCCCAAATCCGATTCTAGAACTTCCAAACCTCACAAACCGTCTCCGAAAACTGCAATTAGCCCGGGTTCGACGCACCCCATGCATCCCACCGACAAGGGTGTCAATCCGACTCCGGCCTCGGCTCCAATCCCTTCTCCTCCCTTTCCTGACCCCTCGGCTCTTGGCCCATTGCCTCCGCCCTCTTATGGATTCCACATGCTTGAGCGCCGCACGATTGTTCTTGCCGATGGTAGTGTACGGTCCTACTTCGCTCTCCCGCTCGACTATCAAGATTTTACTCCGCCTGCAAGGCCCATGGACCTTGCTGGCCGGTTTTTACCAATGGGTTCCGGGGGTCCTGGCCGTGAATATGGTGGATTTGATCATCGGTTTCCCCCAGGTGGCCCTATGAGCCCAGATGAGTTTCGGGGTAATCGGGAAGAACAATTTGCGCGTGCTAGGCCTCAAGATCACTGGAATTCTCGAGGGGCTGATGAGCGTGGTGGTGCTGCTGAATTTTCGATGAAAAGGAAATTCAATGACGACAATGAGAAGGATAGGAAGGATGACAAAGACGAATTATCTAGGCGACAGCAGCAATTCTTGCATAACGGGAATGCAAATGGATTTTTTTCAGGCCCCGGCGAACGACGGGGAGATTTTTTAGTGGGAACGAGTGACCCATATAGTAGAACAGAGGATATGAGGTTCTCGAAGTACATGCGAGTTGGTGGGGGTTATGAAAATGAAGGTTTAAGGTTAGGTAGCGGCGACAATGTGGCTCCTAAATATTTAGAAGTTGATCAGAATGCATTGAAAAAGGCATTTGTTCACTTCGTGAAGACTATCAATGAGAACGCAAATCAGAGAAAGAATTATTTGGGCAACGGGAAGCATGGGCGTCTCCAATGTCTTGCCTGTGCAAGGTTTGATGCAATGGGACTCTCTATGCCTTTTCTATTTGACTTGTGCTATTTCTTTATATTGCTTATAATTAACGCTTCTTGTCCCTGCGTCGGTGAGTGTTTGTGGTGGATGATGATAGCGAATACATTACGTTGTTTGTTTCCACTTTTTGTTGTTGTGATCGAGAAGGAGGTAAATACGTAAAGTATATGCTTTTTGGTTCGTTGCCCTTTCCTTTAAAGCTGTTTTCTCCTGCTACTTTTCCTCAAGTCTGGCGTAAAAGAATTTGAGTCTAGTCTGGGTGCTGGCTTACTGTTAAGTGTCCGAGCCAGTGGTTTGTTGTGCTCTTCTTCCTATACCTTTCTTTTCTCCTACTTAGCATGCGATGAAGAATTACAAATAGGGAGGCAAATTATATGCTTTCATTGTATTTTATGTAATTTTGTATTTTAATATGTATAATAATTGAATTAACGAGAAGAGGAGAGGTACAAAATAAGGGAAAGGAGAACTAAACTCCCTCGTAATATACTGCATCTGAAATCTATGATTTGTGGTTGTTGCTGTCAACCAATATATGCACTGTTTGTTTGCTATTGTTGTGGTTGTGACCGAGAAAGGAAATGGATACGTAAAGTACATACTTCTTGATATGCTACCCTTTCCTTTAATGGTATTTCTTTTCCTATCCTGCTGCTTTTCCTTATAAGTGTCACGTAAAAGCATTTGAGGAAAGCATGGATGCTGGCTACTGTTGAGTGTTCAGGTCAGTGCTTTTGTTGTGCTCTTCTTCCTATGCTTTTCTCCCCACTATTTAATGTAGGGAAGAGGTGTAAGTGGGTCAGTTTTTAACCAAAACCAATGCTTCTGATTGGCATGCTGGTATAAGAAAATAAAAAATGTTGAAACCAACATTTTATGACAATTAGATGGAAATAGAACCGGCCGTCTATCATTTTTCAGCATTATACTTTAGAAAACCAAATTGACTGATAAGGATAGTTCAAGATAAACGAAGAGACTCAAGCATAATTTTGCTTTCTAATTTATGTGAAAGGCTTCGTATGCTTTCACCCAGTTTATGTGATTGTCATATACATATTGTTTGGCTTTTGGAAATTCCTGAAGGGGTTTTCAATGAAAATTGAGTCTTGTTAATATGATTTAGCATTGGTTCTATTTGTCGTTTGCTTCTATTCTCTTATTTGTTACTCTTAAAATTTTTAATTCCTTCCTGTGAGTCCTCGTGTGATGCATTAAATTTGGGTATATACTTGATTTTTCATGAAATGCATGGTTGCATCATGGGGGAAGTTCCATAACCCTGTAACTTTAGGCAATTTGTTCTGTTTCATTGTGATAATGATTTGCCTTTGATATTGTGTGTTGGCATAGGCATGGCCTCTTTAAACCATGCAATACAGTTTGATGGACCGTTGGGATGAAATTTTATTTTTTCTGGTCCAGTCTATTTGTTGGTTTTAGACTTGGTGTATGGTTATCATTGAAAGTTATATATATCAAGAATAACTTGTTTGCTGTATGGAGTAAACCGGCTGGTTATTTGACTCATTATATGTAGTGGTAAAATCTCTCTGTTGGTAGTTGTTTAGTTAGGCTCTAATCCCTGCCTGTAAGTGGGATATTTATAGTTTCTAGTTGACTTGATGTTAAAATCAATAAGAGAAATCTTTGAAGAAACTCTCTTGGCTATACCAATTTGAAATGTTTGTGGAATTAGGTGGCCAAGTGGGTTGCTTTGATATTAATGAGGTGGAAGGTTGCTCATTGGACGAATAATTTCTTCAATTATAGAGTCTGGTTAAGTGACAATTTAGGCCATTTTACTTGCAAATCTCTACTTTTTAAAATTACCTAGAGAATGTGATGGACCCTAGCTTTTCTGTGTTTGGGAAACACGGGTACAAAAGAAAATTATCTGTTGGGGTGGCGATTATATATAGAGTCCAACACTTTGTGGCATAGGGTCAACGTGAGCAACCACAGTCCACACTCTTTTGAGTGGATCTTGGCTCACGAGTCTAAGATATCCTCTAAAAACCATACGCTACCACACCCTTCTGAAATGTTCCAATTAGAAAGTGGCTCGAACACCTATTTTTGGATCCTTTGCTAAAAAACAAACAAGTGGCTGTTAGAGCTTGGTAAAAAATGCTCTCTCGTTCTCCCTAGAGTTTGGTTTTTTTGTGATTGAAGTATTTTAAGTTCTTGAAGCAGATTTTCTACAGTTTTAATTGATGGACGTCAATAGTTGCAAAGTTGATGATTCATTTTTCTGCTGAAAATGATAGTTATATGCTAGAAGAAGTAAACAAGAATGTGATTTTAGTTCTTATGGTTTTAGAGTCATATATGGCAGAGTTGATCCAAATGCCTGCATGCCCTCGTTTATTTTTCCAGGATCGAGATGTCATGGTATTAACCGAATCCACAATCTTGCATCAGGCAGTCTTGGTTCATAGAATGAATTATGTGGCCAACTCGTGGGGGAAGACGTATAGTTTCTATTCCCACTGAATCCTGAAATCTTGCATCAGGATTGTGGTTGGCTTGATTTCTGGTCAATGCTGAAGGTCTTCTCTATCAGGAGCATGGAGGCTCAAATGAAAGATCTATAGAATCATAAAAGAAAGTTCACTCCTGCGGAGAAAGGAAAAAGGCTGTCATCCCAGAACGAAGGATTCCTGAAGGAAGATTTGCTGAAGCAGTAAAAGAAATTCATTCTAAGGAAGAGAGAGACGCATATAAATCGGTGGCAATTAAAGTGAAGACAGCAATTGGTCGAATCTCAAATGAAGTATCTGTAGAAGCTAGGGAGACACCGAAGCTGGGCAATATCTTTCAAGGAAAAAGGTGCTGAAAAAAGACAGATCTTTTTGGATCAAAGAAGAAGAAGTTTTAGAAGTAGTCTGGAATAACATATTGGTTATCTCCAAGTGCGGACAATTTATGATACTATAAAAAGAGAATTCTCTCCACGTTGTGTGTTTAATCCTTTTATGGATAAAGCATTATTAAAAGTTGAAGATAACAGTATGTTCTATAAGCAGATAACTGTTGGAAAGTGAAGGAAAATTGATAAGTTTCACATGAAAATTGATAAATGGGATTTTGACATGCATAGTAGGAAAGAATGAGTTCAAGGTTATGGAGGTTGGATTAAACTCCATGACTTACCCTTGCATTTCTGGAAAAAAGTCAGTTTTGAATTGTCTTCTCATCTTGGGCTTCCCTACACGAGGATTTGTTTCTTTTAAAATATTATATCCCTTTGAGGCATTTCTTCAACTGCTCCTTGGAACGTACTTTAAAGGGCAAGCAAAAGTCCTTTGGTCCATTTGGATAGCTGGTTTGGTTTGGAGGCTTTGGTTTGAAAGAAATTGGACTTTCCTTGGAGAAGAATCAGAAAGAGAGGTTTTGCAGGAGTGTGTTAGAATTAGAATCTTTGTGTCCTCTTGGGCATCTAGTATTAATGTCTTTTGTAATTATGGTGTCTCTAGAATCTTTGGCTACTTGGTAGTCTTTTTTGTAATCCTGTGGCTCGTGGGGATATCTCATCTCACCCTTTTGTTCTCTTTTGGTAATGAAAGTTAAGTTTCTTGTCCAAAAAGAAGTTTATATCCCTTTCCTAATCTTTGCCCGCTGGAGATTTCTAATTACTTTGAATATTATGGCTCCTAGCCTTGATATTTTATTTTTCTCAATAAGGCCAATGTGAGCATAGCTCAATTAAAGTATCTCCTTCTCAAACCTCCAAATCCCCACCTCAAATTTGTTGTACTATAAAAAAAGAAAGTAATAACTTTGTTAGCAGCCTTTGGTATTCACACGGTGTACCTGTTCTTTAATTGGTAAAATGTTTTTGAATCCTTAGTCTTTCTCATAGTCATGTTAAGAAGAAATGTGCCTATGAGCTTCCAACTATGCAAATATGTGAACCTTGTTAGCCTGATTGGTTTCTTAATATTGTGCACGTTTGTTTTTTAATAAACTGCTTCTCATCTCATAAATACGTTAGATATTCCAATACTCATCAAATGACAGGAACATTTGGGAAGAGTTCAGTCTTCCAATGTGTTGATAAATGGAATTGGCAGACAAGTAAGAGACACCTTGAAACACAGACCGTCAAAGTTAGGTCTTTGTTTACTAAAGTTCCTCTCAGAATGAAATTGACTGAATTTAAAGATTTAAGAGTTATGTAAAAATAAATTATGATGCTGATCATTCAACATTGACATCCATATCAATTATCTGTCCTGCAATCTACGTCAACATGGATGAATGTTGTGACAGGAGAACCTGAGACGTAGAAACCTTGCCTCTTCTGTTATTTGTCTGGACTGAATCTTCCATACTTGACTACACCACTTAGAAAAGAACTTTAGTGGTTGTAGGTTTAATGGTAACTTTATTTTAAAAAATCAGTTTTGAGATTTGCTTTGCATTTGAGTGAAGATTTTGTGGGAAGTTGTAGAATTGCTGCCTGATTTCTGTGCGTGATGATGCTTTTTGCAATTTTGGAGTCTTCGTTTCCACCTACAGCTTACCATTTCGAGTGGTCTACACCACTTTTTTCCCATTTTGGTTCAAATTTGTAGGCTTGTATTATAGTTTGAACCTATTGAAAATTATAATCTGGGTCCCTAAAGAATATTTCCCCCTCCTTTATATGCTTACTTTCAGGTCATCTAGAGAATTTCCAGATATGCATGGCCTTGTTATGCACACGTACAACTCTGATAGTGCTGATTCACAAGTGGATCATTTGGGTTTACACAAAGCTCTTTGTGTTTTAATGGGGTGGAACTACTCAAAGTCTCCTGATAACTCGAGAGGATACCAGTTTCTATCTGCTGATGAAGCAGCAGCTAATCAGGATGATCTTATTATGTGGCCTCCTCTAGTGATCATCCATAATACAATTACTGGAAAGGGTAAAGATGGGCGCATGGAGGGTTTGGGAAACAAAGCAATGGATAGTAAAATTAGAGGTATAATGCACTTTTTTACATCTCATCATTCTTCATTGCTGTTTGAATCGTTTATCTCTTTCTAGATAGAATAAGGTCTCTGATCAACTAGGCTAGGCAATACTGCATCTGCAACTGTTCTGCTCAGAAACACTTAGAAGAAGCACTTGAAGCATCTCTGGACTTTCTCAAGTCCATCACAGATGTCCATCTGTGTTCGGCAATAGGTTTAGAAAGTGGTATACTTAGTTATTTTTTAGATGCTGATTAGAATTTTCATGATCTTTATCATTTATTTAATAAACCTGAAGTTTTATTTGAATCCTACATGAATAAGTTTGACGGCACGCGGTGAACCTTTTGGTACTTCTCTTATAGTTTTGTTATTGAGTTAGTGGAACTCTTTCAAAGCGAATTGGAAGAGATTTTTTAATCCTTTTGCTCAAGTAGAGTACCCTTATCCTCCATCTTTTGTAGTTTTCTTTTGCAGTAAAACTTAAGCTTCGTATTGATTGAATGTTAAGGAAGCTGTTTCTCTTTTCTCCCTTTAGTTGATTTTGGTCAAAGTGTTTATCAACTGGAGGTAGGGGTCACACTGTACAAGTGGAAATTGTTTTCTTGTCAGGTTCCTCACTCTCAAGTCCGTCACAGATGATCCATCTGTTTAGTTGGGCAAGCAGTTTAGAAAGTGGGAGTACCTTATTTATTTATTATAGTTCTGATGTGAACTATGTTTTTATTTATCTGCTTCTTAATGTACTCATAGTTAATTAACCTTAAGTTTTTATCTGAAATCCCTATAAATAAGTTGATGGCACGTTCAAATTTTTAAGATTTTTTTTATCCCTTTGCTAATTAACATCCTTCATTCTCTCCTGTTGTTTTGGTGTTATTGGTGAATTTTTTAATTACCCAATAATCTTGGTTGGTTAACGTTCATGAGTTATGAATACATTATTTAGACTTATGAGAGGTTAGCGACTGATGCATTTGCTTAATTACATGGTTCTTTACTCTGCAACCTCTTAATTTAATCGTGCATTCATTTTTCCTGCATTTACTAAGACTAATGCGTGATGCGAACCGGAACAGTATTGGTTGATTTAAGACTATTTCAACATAGACTTGTAATTTCAGTCTTTTATTTCAGAAGTCCGTTTTTTGATCCCTATTCTTCATTTGTCTCTTGTGTGTTAGACGATGGAGGTAATGATAGGTTCTGCAATGAAATTCTGCAATACCAGACAGGAGAGCTAGATTTAGATAAATCGGAGATGATCTCACATTAAGCTATGCTTAACATCAGGGCAAATTTTGTATCTGACACCACATTGCCTTTTGTTTGTGTTCCTTGGTTACATAAGAGTACGTGATTGACTGATTATTTATCTAGTAGCTAGTGTAGCGTTTCGTTACTTTGTTAGACATGATTGTAATGGTTCTGGTGGTCTCTTTCATTTTTTATTATATTTGATTTGGTTTTCCATATTCTCTACCTTCCAGTACTGGGTGCCTGGATTTTTGTGCCATAGTTGTTTCTGTTTTAAATAATCGTGCTATGTACCATGTGGGATCTGTCTGATATGCTTGTAGCTTCTGAAGCTTTTTAAGCTTTAGTAATCACAGAATTTTCAACATGGCTGTGTGGTTTCTACACAACCACTTCTGTCTCTAGTTCAAGGGCTTTACCTTTTATAATCTAATGGCTAGTTTGCTATCAATTTGTTGGCAGTAAGTTGTCTTGACGAGTCATTTGGCCTTCCTTTTTTCTTTTTCAGACCTTGGGTTTGGGGGTGGGAAGTCAAAGTCTCTGTATGGAAGAGATGGTCATTTGGGCACAACGTTGATCAAGTTTTCGGGTGATCAGTCTGGCCTCAATGAAGCTAAGAGACTGGCTGAATTTTTTGAGAAGGGTGGTCATGGACGTATGGCTTGGGCTCACGTGCGGCCTGCAGTGTTTAGTATGGATGATGACAAAAATCCAAACCTTGTGAAGACGGATGAAAAGACTGGAGAGAAGAAAAGGATTTTTTATGGTTATCTTGCAACTGCAGCTGATATGGACAAAGTTGATTTCGATACAAGGAAGAAGGTAGCCATAGAGAGCTGTAGGGACTTCAAATCGTCCAGGTAGAATATCTGGAGAAATATATAGTTCAGCACGTGTTCATTTTGTACCCTTGGTTCAACTGCAAAAGGTCAGATCCATGTCATTTTTGAGCTCGATGGTTCATTGATGAAGTGAAGTCTTTACAAGTCTTTACCAAACGGCTTGGTGAATATCATCCTTTGTCTAAAGGAAGTGGTTGTTTGGTCTACCAGTAATGTAACTTCAGGATTTTTCCAGGATTTGTTGCATAGTTTTAATTCTTCCATAGAACGATTAATGTGTATGGCGGGGTATGGAATATGGATCTGGTTGTTTGTCTACCTTTTCAAATCCAAATGATTGAAAGAAGCTTTAATTATTAGTATGTTGTTACATTAACAAACCCGCACATTCATAACCTGCTATTAGTTGGTAGTGGTTTCAACATATGTTAGAACGGAATATAAGCATAGTTGACCATAATTGGTCCCTGTCTTAGCATCTAATCCGTTGCCGAGTACTCAGGACAAGTATACAAATTATAAGCAAGTGCTCCGCAATCAGTCTAGGCTGTCTCTAGTTACGTTTATGCTTGTACTTATTGATGCTTGTGTATCAAAAGGGAAGTTATTTGAGTAGGTGAGGTGCTCTGTTGCTTGGTTTCTAAAACAGCAGGCACACACGGAGTTGGATGCTCTGCCGTTCCATCAGCGGGAGATTCCAATTGATGAACAACCATACACTAATATATATTTTGATGGGATTGAACTCTTGCTTATATGTATTATATATATATAGATTAGTTGGAGTACAGATCTCTATCCAAAAAAAAAAAGAAAAAATTGGAGTACAGATCTGTGTGCAGCAGAACGGTCAAGCAGGCGTGAATCCTATGCTGGTGAAGGGGTTAAAATGCTGAATTTGATTATTATTATTATTATTATTATTTTTTTATATTTCATTGATTTGGGTACACTTTTTGGAAGGCATGTTCATGAAGCATTTGCTGGGCGAGGTAGCAGAGGAGGCCTTTTTTTAGCTTTTCAGTCTTCTCTGGTTTGTGTTTGATATGATTTAAAGAATTTTTCTATCAAAAGTAGAAATAGGAAAGATATTATCTCTGGGGTTGTGATGTTTTCTGAAAATTTAGCCTTCACCTTCAGTGTCGGTGGAAGATACCTTGACATTCCCAGCTAGGAATCTTATCCATAATATTGGATGGTTTACATCATAGCTGTATATATTGAATATATATCTTTGCCACGTGTGAAGAAGCTGGTAAACTATTTGGAGAAATGAGGGTTAGCTTTGATTTTGTGTGGTAATTTGAGTTGTAGAGGTAATTATGAAACGGATTGAGTAGTGGCAAAGGTGAAGAATTGGTGTAAGCTTTAGAGGTGTGATGCGCATGCTGGGAGATGATGTTGTCAAGGAGGCAGAAAAATGGGAGTGTGTAGTGTATAATTGCGTACTCTGTTTTGGCATCTGTCTGCGCTTTAACTGACTGAAGCCATGTGGTGGTCAGACTCAGTGCCCATGGCCCATCCCCCACCTCTCTCTCCTCTTTTACTTTGGTTTTCGGGAAAGTGCTTTCTTCCCTTCCCACAAACCCTAATTCTTCTCTCTTTTTTGCACTCTAACCATGTCTATATGCATATCCGTTTGTTGGGGTGGTGTTCGAACTCAACTTTTTGGTTGGAGACGTGTCAATTACTGTTGAGATAGATTCGTTTTGACTTCTACATACATAAGTTCTTGTTAACTGATTCTTCTTCATTGGTGCAGGATTTAGGTAATGGTGGGTTGGCCAACATAAGATTAAGATACGATTAAGATATTACGTAGTGTTTTCAAAGTGAGACTAGAGGGATAATGTACTTGGTATTTCATTTCTAACGAGATCAAAATGTTGATCATGAGGTCACATTGAATGTCATTTAGCAATCTTGTAGGGATTAATTAAACTAGACACTATAGACATGATCAGGGTAGGAAACCATATACAATTGTTCTGCACTTTATGTCGACCTAGCAAATTACATTTCTGTGTGATGATTAATAAAGGTATAGTCTAAGGTGCCACATATTATGCCTATGACTTCCCTAGTTGTTTATTATAAACCTTGTTATGGGTGGGTGTGGTTGATCACCTGCTACTAGTGATGATAATGATCACTCTCATCTCTATAAAGATTGGATTGTTGATATATATTTCATTAAATTTTGTCAAATACGAGACCCAAATTACTTGTGTCAAGTCTCTTATGCAAGTATCTGCAATCTCTAACCATGTCGAAGTTCATTAATCAACCTAATTTGACCAAATTCATACATCATACAAATGGAAAAAGGGAAATATATTTTTTTGATAACAATTGATAAACAACCTCTTGACATTTCTATGGAAAATTTGACATTCTTATCAAGAAAATTGTTGCCCTATGCACCTTTCCAAATCTTATCTTCAAATCCAATGGCCAACTCTATCAAGCAAAGAATGCATCTTGCTTCAACTTTACCCAATTTCTTTCTTTTCTTACCATTTTTTCAATCTCACCAACAATATGCGAAACAAATATCTCACTTTTTTTGTAGGGAAAGATTCAAATATCTCTTCATTACAATTATCGTCTGAAATTGTAATGGGGGATTCAAACTAAAATTTGTAATTACGGTTTGAATTAGGCTGAATTTAACGTCTTTTTGTTAAGAATTATATTAATAATAATTTGATAAAATGTGTTGGCAAATTGATTCGTCAATAGGATTATTTCAATAATTTTGTAAAAATTATATGCAACTCTTTATATTTTTAGTTTGGTCCGTAGAGTTAAAAAAAAATATTCCGTGTTAATCAATTTCTATTCTTGTTTGAAATAAAAGAAAAAAGCTGACTTTTTTTAGATTGTTGTTTGAATTATGTTTTTATCTGTTTATAAAATATTAGCCAGTTGATCTTAAATTAAGTCATGTGTCATTGTTTTGTCTATTCTGTACTAAATTAAATAAAACGGCCTTTTGAAGAATTTTCAGAGAATAGACAGCAAAATGACATAAATAAAATACTTCTGAAATGGACACATCGTTGGTCTTCATGAATTAGAAGTATTAAAAATTTCAATGATTTTGTCCGCTGGATTAAATTACGATTAAGGAAGAAGTAGTTTATGAAATTTGACGGTGTATCTATTTTAATATCTAAAAATATTAATAAAGTAGTCAATTATGACATAATTCAATTGATAAATCACCAATTATCTTCTTCAAAGTCGAAGGTTTAAGATTCCACTCCACAAATATATTTGTCTCACTCATTTCATCAACTTTTTTTTTTATCTATTTGCTCTTATTTTATTTAGTTAATCTATTATCTTGTGTGATGTCTTACCACATTATCATTAATTAATTTAATTAACATGTCATATTAACATTTTAGAAACATGGTATTGACAAGATTTATTACTAAAAAGAAAAATAAAGGTTCCAAAACATATTGAGATTTAGATTAAAATAGGTAGTTCATAGAAAAAATTGATAGATCTATCAATGTTAAAAATGTAAGGCTAACATACAAAATGGTCACTACTAATCTTTTGAGTTTGTGGTCACTAATATTTTAGAATTCTAAATTTTATGATTAATATGTTAAAATTTTTCAATGGAGTTCCTCCAAAATAAAACTATTAAAGTTGGTCAACAGAGAGTTAATATATAATTAAATTATTAATTTACTATATAGGTAGATGAACGCATCTGTTAATTGACATATAATATTAATAAAATTCATTTCTACTAAGAAGTTACCTACAAGTTGATATGTTAACAAGATAATAATTTAATTACATCTACTTTTTATTAGTAAGATTAAAATGATATAACCAACTCAGATTAAGGTACGTGTATCTAACCATTAGGTTAAGAGTTGAATTCTCACTCCCATATTGTACTAAACAAAAATTAAAATTGAAAATTGAAAAAAAAAAACTAAAAGCAAAATTGAGAAAAACTTGAATAAAAATACAAAAATAGAATATCTTCATTCAAATTGAAACATTTGAAAGCGAAGGTACCGTCGGCGCATTCTAGAATTGCTTCACAAGTAACTTTTGGACGCCGGTTTCCGGTAATTTTCCACTACGTGTCACTCTCTCATTTGTCGATATAATTTCAGTGTTCTGTCGCTTTGATTTATCTCTTCCGTTTCAAGTTTCATTCCCTCTTCTCTTCTTTTCACACCGCACTCTCTCTCTCTCTCTCTTCCTCCGCCGCAGCGCCGCCGCAGTACGAGCGATAAAAAGGGAAAAATGGGGTCGATCCCCGATCCCGGCGAGTTGAGCGAGTTGACTCACCCGAGTTTCGACGAGTTCCAAAGGCAGACTTCTCTGATGACGAGCTGTACCTTGCTCTGGAAGGAGCTCTCCGACCACTTCACTAATCTGGAGCAGGATCTCCTCAAGAAATCGGAGGCGCTCAGGCATAAAATTCAAACCCTAGATCATCAGACTAAGGAGTCTCTTGACGAGCTGGAGAAGCGCGAGGGTAGTATCCAGGGCAGTGTTCAGATCGCGCTCGGTAAGGTCGAGAAAAGTATGGAGGCTGCGCTTAAAGCTCTTGAAAAGGACGCCGATGAGAATGGTGAAGTCGATGATGGCGATGGATTGTTATTGAAGCTGAAATCGTTCTGTTTGGAAATGGATTCTGGTGGATTTTGGAGGTTTGTTACTGGTAAGAAGAAGGAACTGGAGACATTGAGGGCTAAAATGCACCTGGCGTTAGCGGAATGCATCGATCCGCCGAGATTCGTGCTGGAGGCCATCTCGGAGGTCTTTCCACTGGATAAGAGAGTAGAAAGAAGTGATGGAGGGAACGATTTGGGGTGGGCTTGTGTTTTGGTGCTTGAATCGCTGATTCCAGTTGTTGTAGACCCAGTGATCGGGAAGTCGAGGATTTTGGTGACGCCTAGCATGAAAGAGCGCGCCAAGGAGATCGCTGAAACTTGGAAGGCGAGCTTGGAAGAGCGAGGTGGTATTGAGAATGTTAGGACGCCAGACGTGCACACCTTTTTGCAGCACTTGGTTACTTTCGGGATTGTGAAGAGAGAAGATGTTGATTTGTATAGGAAGCTTGTTGTTGGTTCGGCCTGGCGGAAGCAGATGCCCAAGCTGGCGGTGTCACTTGGCCTCGGGGATATAATGCCTGGTATAATTCCCTGAATTTCCCTTTCGTTTTTATTTCTGATCTTGAGTTTGTTTTAGAAGCATGACTTGGTAGCATATCAATTTTTTCTAAACACTCCATGAATTTGAGGCTGAGTTGTTATGATATAATGCCTGGTATAATACCCTCATCTGAAATGGGTTGTTATGTTCTTCTATTTTTAAAGATCCAAACATGGAACT